ACATGCTCTACAAAATGCAAAAAAGAATGGGTCTCTAGCATTAACGGTTCCCGAATTAGAGACAGTTTTCAGTTTCAGTATCTTATGGCCGCTACTCCCGTGAAAATGCACCGATTGACCCCAAATTCACGGAGATGAAAGATGACCTGAAGGGTAACACTTCCCAATAATATTATTGGTTAAGTCTGTGTGGTGTCTGAATAACAGGGCAAATAAATTTTTTTTTCGTAAAAAAATTAATTTTTTTGAAAATTTTGGCTCGTTTGACCTTGAAATAAAGGTCAAAGGTCAAATCCAAGGGCATATTTGAAATCTACACATATGACTTTTGGAAAGCCGTCTGTAGAAATTTTTCCCATAATTCCTTCCGTAGGGTAGATAATTAGCATTTAATTTTGCCATTTTTAGACAAGGGTGCATTGCAATGAGTGCCACACCTAGACCCCAAAACCGACAAAGCCCAAATTTTACGTGGAACGAGTTGAGATTATAGGTGACCTAAATCCAAGAGATGGATACGGGGGCCCTTACCGTCTAGGAGGAGAAGCGGTAACGGTAGCCGTCCGGCGGAGCTGGCGGAGCCGGCGGAACGATCCAGACGGGACTAAAACCATGTGTACCGCCAGCGCTAACGCTGGTGGTACAATTACAATCCATAACTGCAAGGTTGTGTCATTGACCAAAATACAACGTTGAGTCAACGTGGCTGGATCAACTTTGAATTTAGGTAGATCAACGGCAATTCAACGTATCAACCTGTTTTCAACGTTGATCCAATGCAACTATGCCTGCTGGGACATATTTTATATTTTTGAGTTTTTTTATTGTTTGAATCAGCACAAATATAGATGTATTTCTGAATAATGAAATGCACAAAAAAACTCATATTCCGTATCTATATTTTGTCAAAATATGGGGAGGTATTTGTAATCCAATCAATTCTTTTATCTCCAAAGTAAAAGTAAGATTTGATTGTTCTGTAAATTCATCACTTTCAGAATATTTTAATGGAAAATAAAAGTGGCTTTTAAAATCAACATTTCTTCCATGATATAAAGATGCTTACTGTAAGATTTTCCTCCATACAATAAATGTTCCTGTAAGAAATATACCTCACAGTTTTATTCTCCATCATATACCAACCTTAATCATCCCCCATTTCCGTGTTGTTCTTGCCATCATATTCTGGATCTGCACATAACAATGTTACATGATGGTTTCATGGTAAAAGGTCAACTTTTGCAGGAAAAGAACCTGCCTTTTGAAATTGTTGGCAACGGACCTGCTGAAGAATTAAATGTTATTGGAGAATATCATGCATTAGGATTTTTTTTTTTTTTTACATATTGCTTAGGGACTCGGCCTGGTCATTATTGTACTATGTACCAGCATATAAGAACATATGCATCCAGTGTATCTGCCGCATCTGCTGGCTCGGCAGCCATGTCACCATTACTGCTTTTGCTCCTAGACTATAATTAAGAGCCTGCGTATCCATCTCTTGGATTTAGATCACATATAATCTCAGCTCAATTCATTTAAATTTTGGACTTTGTCGGTGCATGCATGTGTCTAGGTGTGGCACTGGGGTCATGTCGATACTCCCCCGCACCGATAGTCCCCCTTTGTAATTTTTTGTATTATGCACATCGATACAACCCCACACTGATAGATCCCCGCACCAATACTCCCCTCAGTATATCTGTAATTGTGGGGGAGTATCGGTGTGGGGAAGTATTGGTGCGGGGATGTACTGGTGCAGGGGAGTATCGGTGCAGGGGAGGTATAGGGATGTAACTATGGGGGTCTTAGCACTAGTAGGTAGATCGCCTCGAATATACAACTCAACACAGAGAGTTACTGGAGAGACCTTTATTGACACAGAAGTAACCTCCTCTAGAGTCCACCGCAACTACTGTTGCTGTCAAGATTTAGAGGGGTTTAAGTAGCAAAACATCAAAGAAATTTTTCCACTTCAAAGAGATTCCAGTTAAATTGCATGTTTCCTAATACACCATCTAAATGTCATTAAGAGGGGACAGTGTGTCCAGTGACAGGCTACTTAACCCATGCCTGTCTAGCCAGGTTCTGCCTACCCTCTAATTTGTGATGTCCATGTCACTGATATGGAGTGACTGTAGGTAATATTTTATGTAATGAAAAAAAAGCAAATAAATATATGATATGAAACTATGATATAACCGTGGCACTCGTTGCAATGCACCCTGTCCAAAATTTGCAAAATTAAGTGCTTAATATCTCTCAAACTGTAGATATTATGACAAAAATAAGTATACAAGGCTAACCCGAAGTCATATTTGGATATATAAATATACCCTTGGATTTGACCTTTGACCCTTATTTCAAGGTCAAACTGGTCTTAATTTTCCAAAAATAGGAATCTTTTTGCAAAAAAATTTTCGCCAAATTTCAGAAACTACACAGACCTAATATTATATCATATTATGAGCAGGTGTCACTCTCAGGGTCATGTCATCTTGTGAGTTTGGGGTCAATCAGAGCATTATCAAGGGAGAAGCAGCCATAAGATGCTGAAAATGATAACTCTTTCTAATTCTGGAACCGCAAATGCTAGAGACCTCTTGTTTATTGCATTTTGTAGAACTTGTCAAATGCAATACTGAAAGTGATGTCAGTTTTTTTTTTTTTTTTTTTTTTTTGTTTTCCATACAGTTTAAGAGTTGCACTTTATCAAAAAGCACAACTTGAAAATAAAAAGTGAAACACGTGTATATACTCCAAAATTAGCAGAGATACACCCATAGTTACGTTTGAACTTGAATAAGAAGTCAAATACCGCAATCTTACTGTGACCTTGAAATTATTATTTGACCTTCTTTTCATAACGAACTGCACTTTGCAAGTTTTCCAGACACTATATATACAAAGCTGGCAGAGATACACCCATAGTTACTATTGAACTTTTCACAGTAAGATTGCCAGTAAATGACTCCCAATCCTTATGGAGGAAAGGGATGGGACAATTAATTTCTAAAATCATTTATGCATGGCAATAAGTCAAGGGTCATTGATAATGGGTCAGAGGTCACAAGAGGTCAAATTTTATGGATTTTTCATAAATTTAAACCAAATTCTTTAAAAAAAAATATTGTTTGAAAAAGAAATTGGTATTTGGTGAATGATTTATATTTATGGTATAGCATCATACTTATGTAAAAAACTTTGGAGCCTCAACAGTTTTATTTTAGAAAATTATGTAACTAGTTGAGTGTAGCCTAACAGTCAAAATTTGCCAACTTTGTAAGTGGGGGTAGGAGAGAGAAAGTGCTCATCATTTGAAGGCAGTAGAAGATACAGCAACAAAATGCACATATTTATGCAGCTTTGGGAAAGGACGTTTCATTTTTTTTGATTAAGACATGTAAACAAAGTCATGCTTCATTAGAAATAGGTCAATAGTGTCAGCTGAGGCTAAACTTCATCAACAATTTAAGCTTTTTCATAAATATGAACTTAAACACCATTAAAAGAGAACATTTTCGATTATAGGAATACTTTTGGGTATAACTAGATGCTGTGTGACTATTAAAGACTTACTAGTTCATCGAGTCTGAGGCCCCTTCTTTAATTCTTAGATTTTTTTATTTGCATATTATATAACTTCAATTCAAAATGGAAGTGAAAACTTTCTATTATAAGGAGCCAGGAAGTGAAATTTTACTTTCATTCAATTTGGAAGAAGTAAGATACAAAGCTATTGTACCATAGCCTGTATCCAAAAGATGTTCATCAAGTTTACTTTTTTAAAGAGGGCACATTACTATGCATTAATGGGTCAGTGGTTGGTCAATGGTCACCCACACTCACTTTACAGCATAAAAATCTAAGCAATTTCTGAAAATTTTAACATTTAGATGAAAACGTTTGGATGATTTAATGGTGATACATATTTGTTATTTGCAAAACATATATAGGGAAATAACTAAAATTTTATTTAATTAAAGCATACATAAAATTTTGAAATTTGTATGACTATATATAACAACCTGTATAATCAAAATTATGCTGTTCAACATCAGACTGTATCTGAGGTTCAGCAGTTAAAAGTGCCTGTCAATTCAGTGTCCACAATGGATAGTTTTTCATCTAAGCAAAATGTAAAAATTGAAAGAACAGTTATTTCCAAAATAGCAATGCATGTTATGTAAGTCACTGTGTAAGTGAAAACATTGATTTGAAATAAGTAAAAAGTATAAAATCTTATCAGAAACTTAAACTTCTACAAGCAGTTTGGTTTCCACATTCTTTTTTCCAACTAATAAATGAACTTTAATTGGCAGATTTAGACATACATTGTACTTTTTATGGTAAACTGAACTTTGCACATTTTCCATCCCTTATACCTCCAAAACTGGCAGATATATGCTGATAGTTACTACTGAACTTGAATACAAAGGCAATCTATTTAACTGTGACCTTGAAATTGACCTTTGGCTTACTTTTCACCATGAGCTGCACTTCAGTAAGTTGTGCAATCAGGCAAGAGCAATTAAAATTGCTTAATTACAGTCATAACAGAGTACAAAGATAAGTTATGACATGTTTGCTGTTTTTATCAAGCTTACCCAACTTTGTCTGTTTTTTAATAATGTGATTAAGAGAAATTTTTAAAAAATTGTATGTAATTGAAAGTAAACTTTAAAAAACTGAAATGAAACTGATTACTTTTTTTTCTGGGATATAAAATATGTTTTTTGGATATGTCCACTGCCACACAGTAAATAATTAAAAACATGCCATTAATTTAAATTATTTCACTAGGGGCGTATGTTTTTTATGTTATAAACAATGACAGTAGGTCCCTATTCAAGTTATCATTATTATTAATTGCGTTATTGAAAACTGTAACAAAACTATTTTTGCTAGTGTCAGAAGGATTTTATTAACAATACTACAAATTAATAAATTGCTACATGTTTTACTTAACTTTCAAATGCTTTCCAGGATTTAATTTTAAAACTTTATCTGTAATTCATTCTCTTTTAAATTATTAGATAACTATTGCCTTCAGTCAAAATTTAAGAATTAAAGATACAAATATAAAAACAGTAGATATAATAGCCAAATATATTGTTTTCAATAGAAATGAAAAAATCTTTAAAAGATACCACTACTTTATGACTATCTTGTGTATTGCACTACACATCTATCCTAATGCTGCTGGAACAATTTTATTTACAACCCTTTGAAGAGCTACATATTTTTCTTCCCATTTATAACACTGTTTTTCTGAATTCTTTTGTCTTTCCTCTGTTATTTGCAATGCCTTCATGAGCTGTGCATTTTCCACATACAGATCCTTTACCAACATCCCTGCCCTGGCTGTCTTCTCACACTGAACAGGAAAAAAATATTTTGACATATGGTGACCTGAATTTGTGATATGAAAATTATATGGCTTGAATTTTGAGATATAAAGATGTTATAAAAGTGTGTAGGATGCATTTCATTTTAACCCCCCCCCCTTACATTTTGGGTTCAGATTACATTAAGATAATTTTTCCCACAGTCAGTTGACAGTTGATATTTTGATAACCACTGATGACCATCTAATTGCAACATTGCCCTCATTTTATTTTAGATTCAGATTAGAATTAGAATTAAAATCTTCCTACAATTATTTGAGAGTTCAATATCTGTTAAACACCTGACTGCATTGTGTCTCTCAGGTCAAGATTAAAACATTATCTTGAGCTTTTGCCTACCTGATCTTTATATTTCAGTATTTGCTCTTCAAGGAGAGCTGTTGTTTGTTTTAGTTTCCTAGCTGTGCTTTCCTTTTCCTCCTCTGTCTCTCTCAAGGCACGCTTATGACTTGCTTGTGAGTCTGGCAAGAAATAAATGAAATCAATCAATCGTCATGGTTTACAACCTTTTTTTACATAGCAGAAGAGAAAAAATACATTTGTAGACCACCCACAAAAATTACATAATATAAATTGATCTTAAAGTGCATCTTCAAAGATCTTGCACTAACTGAAATGTCCTCATTTATGAATTTGTACACTATATACCTGCACTGATCTATATTGTCAACACCTAAAAAGAATAAAACTGCAAAAAAACACAAACCATGAGAAAGAAAAATTTTATTATTTTCTACATTTTTTCAATTTCATTTTTTAACTCTGTACCTAGAAGTATCTTGTTCCCCTCTGTCACTCTCATCTCAAGTGCCTGTTCTAACTCCCTGATTTTCTTCTCCGCCCCCACCAGCTGTAACTTCTGGTCATTGTACATGGCAGTATTCACCATATTCTCTGCCTGATCTTTAAGACCCTGGATCTCCCGAATGTGCTGAGATTCGGCAATCGAGAGACTAGTGTTGGCTTCCAGGAGCTTAAAAAACACAGTAAAAAAGGAAAAATTTATTCTGAATCATTTATCACAAAAAATGCATGTTTTTCCAACTACCTTAAAGTTGTCATTTCTAGAAACAAATGTTGTCTGTTGCCTTAAAGATGCAGAATAATTCTTCAAATATCTACTTGAGATATAGCATGGTCATATTAATTAAACTTAAAAAAAGACTTTGCAAAAGAAGTTTTATCACATTCTGAAAACAATTTTGCCCCACACCTGATCATTAGCTTGTTGCAGCTGTCCCTTCAAAATATTGCGTTCATTTTCCCAGTTTTCCATTCTTTCCTGAGGAAGAAAATCAAATAGTTATGACACATGTAACAATCAGCTGTTCATAAATCAAGCAATTTTTTCCAAATAAATCCCAGATGTTACATCTGAGTGGCATAACAATGCTGGTATTGTGTTTTCTTGGCACAAATACTATCTGATCACTTCCACCTCCTTGCAAAATTCAAAAACCAAAGTGACTAAAGAGTACCTTAATTTTATCAGTTTCCATAGATTTGAGCTGGTCAAGTGTTACTTGGTGCTGCAATTCCTTCAGTCTATTTTCTAAAGCCTGTTTCTCAGTGGAGAGTATCTCACACTTAGCCTTTAAGCAAAATGTTAGTACATGCAATGGGTTAGTGGCTAAGAATTTCAAGGTAAAAGGCACATTTTCCATCACAAGGGCATTAACAAATATAAACCATCAGGAAAATATAGCTTTCAATGGTTAGTATTAGTTAAACAGAAAAAAAAGAAAAAAATCCATTACACAGCACAATTGCCAATGTGTTTCACAACAGCAATAAATTATTTTCACATCAATTCATACAAATGAATTTCTGACCGCAAGTTTGGTTAGTAGAAGGCATTTTTGAAATAAAATTTAGCAAGACTGTTATATATAATAAAGAGTGTGTATATATCTATAAAATGTTACAGTAGGAAAGTTAAGTAGGAAAGAGACATTCTACATCTATTATTCACACAAACATAAGTGCACTAACCTGGGCTGCTGAAGTGGAAGTCAGTTTATTTCTGAGACTCACAAGCTCTTGTTGCAAGTGGTGACACCTATCCTCAAGTGAGTTCTTTTCTCCCAACAGTGTAGTGTGCTCAGCCTTCAGTGAAATATGTGAATTGAAATAAAAATGTGAAGTGAAAGTGACAGGAAAGAATGTGCAGGACCGTGGAATATTCATCAATGCCAACATACAATAGAAGGGCTAATTTTTCATGCATAAAAATAAGTATCTTTAAAACCTGACTAGGTCTAGAAAAAATGCATACAGTCAAATTTAAGTATAAAAATTCAAGCAAAAAATAATTGATACCGATTCAAAAATTATCTTGCGTTACTTGGATTACACGACAGACTACATTAAAAATCTGATGAATTCTTTTAAGTGCCATACAAGAGTTGAACCCCCATGAACCACTTGTCAGCACGATGCCCCAGGAGGTAGAGCGGTACTGAAATTTGGATATTTATTTCCAACATAATTACACAGCCACACATATATTTCTGAACACATTCCATTTCCTAATACTAAAAGGGCTAACCTTTATTGCCACCAGGCTGGCCAGCCTCATATTTAAGTCTCTGACCTGGTCCTGCAGTTCAGAGACCTTGTGTTGCAGTGCAGTTTTCTCACTGTGCAGTGCATCTTGTGCAGCCTTGGTGCAAGGGGAAACAATTCAATATTAGTAGGAAACCACAGCAAATCAAACATTTCAGTGTCTGTGAGTCAAAACAGTCAACCCAATCAAATACACCATGCATTATTATTATTATAAATTGAATGTCTTTTAAAGAACTATTCAAGGAAAATTATGACTGATGGGTTGTTAAATTTTCGAAACTATTATAACAAAATATTTAACAATCAATGTATAATTAAGTTTTAACTTATTATGTTCTAAACTGTTGGCAATTTAGTTTAATAATATGTTACTTTTCAACAAAAGGGGGCATGCAGGTAATCAAAATCCTACCATAAACAATCAAAATTCAATGTCACAATCCGTGCACATATCAAAGAACAATTTTCACAAAAACCAGGATGAAAGAACTCCATGACAATGTCACAATACATGAACCAACCTTTTCCTGGCTGCTTGCTAGCTGTGCTGCTCTCAAACTGTCCTCTTTGGCAGACAGCGATAATCTCTCCTTTTCTGCCACCAATCTCTCTATCCTCCCCTCCAGGGTGTGCCTGATATCACTGTTCTCTGAGAGGAGTTGATCTACTCTTTGGTTCAGGTCCTCAATCTGTTGTTCTGCCTAAAGTGAAAGTGAAAGTGAGCATATGCTGAACTGTGATGTCTAAATCAAGTGAATGTAATGTGTCATGCTATGGGCTTGAATTATAACTGATCATGACACCATCGAATAGTGGCCACAATGTGGGGGAATACAAATAAAAGATGAGAATAGGGTGAGAGGTCAGCTTTTTTAAACGTCAGAGCGAAAAATAAAAGTTTACCATAAACAAAATGCTGTTAGAACTCTTGGTGAAATCACACATCAAATGACAATGCAAAAACTGTTACATGTAACAAAAAGCTAACAGATCTACCATCCCGTCAGTCATCCCTACCCTTGCTTTAGCTCTCTCCAGATTCTTGTGCCTGACTTCCAGTTCTTCTGCCTTACGCAGGTTCTCCTCGTCCACATCCTTGTGTCTCCTCATATCCTCCAGCTGTTCTTCCAGAAGACTTATCCTGTGATCATACTGATCTCGCTCAGCATCAAATGCATTCTGGACTCTCTCCAGCTGACCCATAAATTCCTCCTGAAGCAGTAAAATATAGTCATAATGTAAATGGGGAACTTATATCAAGAGTGTGATGCTGTGGCAGCTGTTGGGTATAAAAAAAATCTAATAAAAAATGATAACCAGCAATTTTTTTCCTCTAAGGTTCAGAAAGTATAAGGAATCCAATTAAAACACTTGGTCTAGTTTAGCTAGTGGTGAAAATGAATCGAATAATACTGATGTATCTCCACCTACATATCTCCATATATCTCAATATATCTGCCTCCTCCGAATGTTTTTCAAATATATTTTTCTTGTCTTTTTTCTCAGCCTGGGTCTGAGCTTTTGAAGTGCTTCCTAGCTCAAAATGTATTTTAAATATCAATTTACTCAAATATAAAGTACTATCTGCAAAACAACCTCTAGTTTTTCCTTGACTTCCTCCATGAACTCTTCATCATCATAAGGGTTTCTTCCCCCTTGCTTTTCCAGTTCATCTATCTGTTCTCTGAGTTTGTCTTCCACTGCATCTCGGTCTCTTTTCAGGCTCTCCAGCTTCTCTTCGTAGCGTATGATTTGTTTCTCCAGGCGATCTCTTTCAACTTGAAATTGATCTCTCATTCCAGTTACTTCTTTCTTTAATGTCTGCTCAAGTTCGTCTCTTTCTGCTGTGAAAGCTTGGCCTGAAGATATCAAAGGATGACGTTACTAATGTGCATATGATATATATATTTTTCATGTGAAGGCATTAAGATCATGCCTTGCTATAAGGAGATAATTTCAGTGTGATCAATAAATTATATACACATATATTTATATACAAATTATTGAATTCCAAAGTCCACTAAATGCAAGATACATGTATCTTCTTTTGATTAATGCTTATCAAAAGTATTGAGTTTTTTTATAGGACTTTTGAATAAAAAAAAATCTTAAGAGGTAATGAATTGTAATAAAGCTGAACTAAAACAAAAGATAAGTATGCCATATAAGATGAGGCATTGTAACTGAAGGGAATGTCTGCACAAAATCCGTCCAGGCAGTGACACACTGATGCAAGAACTTACAAATGGCAGCCTTCTCTTGTTCAAATGCTTCTTTCATTCCCTCCTTCTCTTTATCATAATCTTCATAAAGTTTCACCCTCTCTTCTTCTACTTCTTCCGCTGTGCACTTCTTCAACAGAGCATAGAAATCATCCTTGATTTTACCTTTCAGGCCATCTGTTCCCTAAAAATTGAGCAAATAGGAAAAAAATTAAAAGAACAATTTTCAGATAATATATTTATAATTCATGTCTATAATTAAAATATTTATAATCATATTTGAACAAGCCTGTTGTAATGTAATCATTTTGATGACTTAAAATCAACTTTTTTTTTCATTGATGCTTCTTTCAGTCTTTACGCATATCATGATATCTTCTTCTGTAATTTTTTTTTGTGTTACCACTTTTTCCAAAATAAATTCTAACATCCTATTTATGTACATGTGTTGATACTAATTTTTTACACATTATACAATGTAACTGATACAGAATATATAGGTAGTTAACGCAATAGCTTTCATTTGCAATTAATTATAGACTTTTGAGACAATTAAAAAAGTAGTGCACGAACAATATAATAAAATAAGTTTAATATTATAATCAAGTATCAGCTGTCAAGAATCTTGGCTGAAAATAACAAGTATATTTAAATGGTAACAATTAAATTTATTTAATTTTACTTGCCAAAGCACTTACTAAAACAAAAATATTCTCATAATCATAAATCTCCATTCTGTGTTGGTCCTCAATGTCCCTTTTCTCCTGTGAAAAATTCTCTCTAAGTTTTTGCTTCTCTCTGGCAAATTCAAGCTCCATCTCCTCTTTCTGTAGCTTCATTTTCAGTTCCAACTCCTTCTTCTGTCTGTTTGCCTCTTCAAACTAAGGGTGACCGGGACAGATATTAATCACATAATTTTTAAAAATCATCACAATCTTGACTACTCTGAGAGGCAACATTGTGCAGATCACTACCCCCACTGAGATATGACCAATAGTAGAATCATGTAGTATCACATACGCTGTAATTAATTTAACCAAAGATGAATAATTACATTTGGCATGTAAATGGGGATGTCAGCATTGGGATGTCCCAAAATTTAAATAAAGAATGATGAAATTCTTGGTGATTGATCTTATATATATATGTCTACACACAATGACATTGGGCAGATTCTTTTCAGCTCCATTATCAGTATATGCAAATTGACACACTCTTTTTCCTTTTCTTTTTTCTTTTTTTTTTTTAAATTTGGAAAATAATGGCATATTACTCACCTCTGCCCTATCCTTGGTCAAATCACCCCTCAGAACTAGCTTATCCCTTTCATGTTCCTCCTGGAGCTCATGGAGCTTAGCACGGAGATCTTCTTGGAACTCTTTCTTTAGTCTGAATTCATAAGGAGAAAATATGTAACTTATGTTAATAATAAAATAAAACTATAATAATTATTATAATGATGATGATGATGATGGAAGATATTATTCATTTCAAATAAGAGTGTGAAAATTGTGTCATCTTCTGTCTTTGTGTACAGTATTTTTCTAAGAGAAAATAAGGCATTCTGTGCGTGCACAGACAAAACTATGAAAAAAAATATAATTATACCTTTCTGTCATCTTGTTTTTCTCCTTTGCAAACTTTTGCTCAAGTAGATTCTTCTCTGATCCATATCTTATGACCAGCTCCTGTCTTTCATTTTCAAATTTATCTGCCAGCTGTTTCTCCAGATTTTCTGCAAGTTGCAGCTTCTCCTTGGTAAACTCTTTCTTGGCCTTTTCCTTTTCTGAAGTAAATCCTTTTAATAAGTCCTCTTTTTCTTTGGTAAAGTCTTCCTCGACTTTGGTAATCTCTAATTTGTAGGCTTGTTCTATTTCTTTCTTTTCAATTTCTAACTGGTTTTGTAGTTCTTTGACCTCTCTTTCTTGCTGTTGTTTTAATGAGTCTATCTCCGTTTGTAGCTTGTCTGGTGTAAAAAATGCAAAAAACAAAGTTAACATTAATAATTTCATTATCACAATAGCATGGATAGAAAAATTCAAATATAAGAAGCATATATTTTCACCTAAATGTCAAACATGAATTATTATAGTATTCACCATATACATAAAATAAAGTTTTAAAACATACAAAATATATTATCAACACTTTAAAATGTTTCCGATGGTTTCAGTACTCATCCTCCAGAAGTCTTACCATCTTCCTCATTAGACCCTGTCATATCCTGAGTATTTGGTTTGGATGGCAGACGTCGCCGGGGTCTGCCAGCTGCCATACTGTCATCCTCATCAGAATTTTCTAAAAATACATAATTTTATATATACAAATAGATGTATACTCCAATAAATATTGCTCTAGCCAAAGTTCATGTAAGGAAAGTAAATGTGTAGAATGAAAGCATTATAAAATTGATTTGTTTGGAAGTACAGGGGTAAATTTGTGGTCAAAAAATAAGAAAATTAGAGAAAATATTGATAAAAATGTGCAAAAAAAGACTTTTCCTCAAAAACGAAAAAAAAAAAAAACTTTGACCAACTTAGCTAAAATTTCCAACATAAACATATCACGAGAGACAAAAGATATCTGATAATGGTTATGCTGCAACCAACCTGAAGAAGACCTTCCTGCTCTCTTGACTATCACAGGTTTGGTGTAGTCTGACAGTAACGACCCACTCCTCACTGGTTTATTGTGTTCACTGGACTTTCTAGACTTCCCTCTTTTCTTGGAGGATAACTGCTGTTTAAGAGTCTCGACTTCCATTGTCAGCTCATCATTCTTATCCCTTAGTTCCTGTATTGAAAAACAAGGTGTGCAATATGTAAAATGTGTGCTGCCAAATACGCAGACCTTTAACAGAGAAAAGGACACCTGGGCATTTCTTGGGCAAACATTATACCCCCCCCCCCCCCCTAAAAAAAAAGGCAAAATATCTTCTTCAAATCTTCAAAATATCTAATCAGATTATGTGCTGCCTCCTATTTTTTTTTAAAGAAACCTGTCTTTACCAAAAGAACAAATATAAAATAAAATATGATAAGTCACTTATAGGATGACTGTCATCAAAATATATGCAAAAAAAAAAAAAAAATCAATAACTTTTGTAAAAACCATTAGATCAACTGGTTTGGCAGTTGCAGGTACTGATGTAACTGCAACACAGATGACACAGATAGAATATATATACAGACACATACAACAACTGTATATACAAATGTTTAAACTATGGGATTTGTTCAAAGAAATTTTAAAGTCACAATAATGTTTCTTGATGATTTACAAATAATCACAATAATAAATACTACATAACAAGTCACCTTGTTCTCTGTCTCCACTTGCTTTAGTTTTTGCTGTGTAAATTTTTGGTGTTCATCTTTCATGAGGTCTCTGTTTGACTCGAGTTCTGCTAACTATATAGAAAGAAAAAAAATAGAAATACATAATGTTATAATCAAAAACCTGGATCCTATTTTCTAAAGGAAATGTTCACTTATATGAAACATCAGTTCAATAATTTTTTTTCCAGTATGCCATATCCAAATGTTTATTTTCACATTGGACCCTCTGTTAAAATCTGTCTCCCCAACCTACCTATATAAATTTTCATTTCTAGTTTCTTCACAAAAAAAGTATGGCCAATTTTAGGTTTATAAACACATTCTTCAAGATCACTCTTGTTTATGCAAACTTACCCTTTCTTGCAGTTCTGCCACTGAATCTAGCTCTCGTTGTTGTTTGAAGTTAACTTTTTGCAGTTCCATCACTTTCTCAGTGGCATCTCCCAGTTCCTTCTCTAGTTTTTCAATCTCCTGTAATATGAAAAAATAAAACATATAAGCCTCGTTAATTGTATTTTCTTTTCATTAATTGTATTTTCTCTTTTTGCTTAAAGGTCTATTTTCTCCTTAATTAGTAGTGGGGTTTCAAAATGTTCCATTCATAAGAGGTCAAAAGCACTTGTTTATCTTTTTGTATGATTGCAAATCTAAGGTTCAAAATCTACTTATAGCATTAACTTTGAAATATCAACAAAGAGACAATACATATTTACCCTTTGCTGTTCTGCTATCTGGTCTTTATATTTGATTTCTTCTTCTTTCATAGAATTCAATTCCTGTTCCAACTTTTGCTTCTGTTTTCTTGCTTGGGTGGTTAAATGTTCAGTTTCTTCTTCTAGTTTTGACTGCAGCTGCTTAATCTGGTCTTGGTATTTCTTCTCTAGTAGTCTTAAATGATATTTCATTTATATATGTTAACAATGTCTCATTTTAATCAATAACTTTTATGACAATACTAGAGAATGACAAATTAGTTTTATTCTCCTAAATTAAACAAAACTTGAATTGGAAACCAAAAAATCTTCCATGTCATCTATTAGATAGTCAATAACATCTACAATTATTAGAAGTATTTGATAAGCTTTCAGTCCTCACTTTATTTTAGTTTCAGATTCCTTCTCCATTTTCATATGCCTTTCATCTGCCTCTTTGACAAGAATCGTACTTCTGTTTAGAGCATCATTTACATCAGACTTTAATTTGTCTCTTTCATTGGTTAACTGTTCTGTATGAGATCTGAAAGAAAATGCATTATGATAATAAATTTCCAGAAAAACAATACAGACTTGTAATCAAATTAATTAGAAGAACCACTGTCTGTGTGTGGATGGTTATGTCACAATGTGATTTGCACAACAGTTATACATTTTGATATAATAACAAAATTAATTATTATTATTATTTTTTGAATCCCTCCAGCTCTTAGATGTTCTTCTGGGTCTTTTTTCTGTGTCAGCTGCTTCCTGCAACTTAGACACACAGCACTTTTTGTAATATGTGAGCTGTTCCAAGTGTGACCGACAAATGTGCACTTCCACAATTAATATTATTATTTTTATTATTATTAGTATTATTATTTATTCATTCATTTATTAATCTATCTATGTTGATACACCCTGATGATGCTACTCACTTGAGATGCCGTAGCTCCTGTTGGTATGTTGCCACAGCCGCCTGGTAGACAGCGTTGTCCTCCTCCATACCAATAATCTCCTGCTCCAAAGCATACGACAGCTCTGCTAGGTGGATCTTGGAATGAGTATCAAATTCTAAATGCTGAAAAAGACAAAAAAAAAAAGAACTATCTGAATAAAAATTTAACATGTGGCAAAACCAATACTATATGAATAGACGTTATATAGTACGTTATATGTAAAAAAAATATTACCCAATATTTGCGAGTAAAAAAGTTGCAAAATCAGGTGGTCCTTTGTCTTTATCTAGCTCAAACAAATAGAATATATTTTCCAATTTGGCAACAATCAACTTTTAAGTACCTGCAAGATATCTGTGGTATTCTTTATTCCAAGACTGTCCCAGAACTCTGTAATTTCCTCTGGTTTGGCGTAGCTGCAGAACAATAGATAACCAAACAATAAGCTATTGGTTTATCAATATGCCATTCAATTCGTAGTGCCTTTATCTGTATTGCAAATGAACATGAACATCAAAAGGAATTACTTATGTGCTTTACATATTGTATTTTACCATGTGAGTCATGGAAACTGTAAAACACAGTGATGCTTTTATACTGATTTTTCATAAGAAATGCATGCATTTTAGTTCAGGCAAAAATGGATGTCTTTATGGCTGGTAATGATCATGAAAGCACTTGGAATTCTAAATCATGTGGTTCCATGTATTATTCACATAAACACAAAAAAAAGATGATCACCCTGTATTTCCCACATCTAATGAAGAGAACACCCCAGAACCACTCCCAACTGCAACTATGGACGGCGTCTGTCCACGCAAAGATTCATCAATATTCATAGACATGGACATCTGTAGTTTGAGCTTCTGTTTCTGGGAGCTTATTGGACGGATTGGGGTGGATGGAAGGTTTGAGCCACCATGCTGGAACAGACCCCTGAGGAATTCATCAAAGCTGACTTGGCCGTCTTGGTCTACATCTAGTCTTTCAAAAAGCTGACTGAGTTCCTGAAAAATTAAAAAAAAAAAAGATTTCATCATGTATTGCATGGCTATGTATGAATATGAGTTTAGTATACTGCATCAGTCTGGATTTCAATGTGGTTAAAAAAATATAAAACTGCAATAAACTATCTGTTGGATGAAGTGTTTATATTCAGTATCTTAAACTAATAGCCAAGTTTATTCAAGACCTCATTTAAATTTGTTTTTAAAAATATCTTTAAAAAACTTGAGGAGCGTTCTCAATATGACCATTTTTCAGCAATTTAACTTTATCATAACATCAAAATCTAAATTTTATAATAAAAGGTGAAGCTGACATTTGGTACCAGTTGCCAAGAGCACAGCCATTGTTCCCTGCCTTACCTCATCAGTCATTTCCTCCATACCAATATGCTCACAGACAGTGGAGAGTTCATGTATGCTGAGTGACCCCATCTGACCCACGCCAAGCTCTCTCCATATTGCCTTCAGGTGCTGCTCCTCACTCACAGGGTCTAGGGCACTCATAGACTGGTCCATCTGGCCTGGAAATACACAGATATTCTTTTTTTATTTCATAACTGGCTCACTTAACTCAGAGGATGATTTCTGTATATATCACATGCTGGGCTAAAATTATGTACTGTCAATTTTTCGCTGTGAAATGCAGCCCCTGGATAACAGCATGTGGTTTAGAAAAAAATATGATAATAATATAATGGTGTGTGCTAGTTCAAGAGACAGGTACCAAAACTCATTGCATCATTCAATCTAGTTGTCCAAACTATTCAGAAAATTACAATATAAGTTTATGAATCATTTTATCGCAGAAAGTATGCATGCGTCATGTTAAAAGTCTTCCTAGGTTCTGAAAGAAAATGTTTAGTTTACAGAATCTGATGTGCAAGGAATTATATATATATTTATACAGTTCATCCTTGCTTTGTGTAAAATCTTTATGTACACTGACATCAAAATGTAATGACGCAGTGGATTTTTAAGTTTCTCTAAAATATATAACCTTTGTTATTCAGGAGTAGATGGAAGCCGTCTGCTGGGTCTTCTGGAAGAAAGTCAGAATTTTTTGAGATTACACTGAAGGACATCTAATTTTTCTGTCAGAACACGGTCAAAAATGGAGGACGGTTCAAAAAAGATAATTTGGAAGACTGTCAAAAAAATATCTGGATCCGCCCATTATTTACAATTGCTTCATGTATATCAAAGGCTAACAACCTCTTTTGGATTCATCTCTCCAAAATTACAAAACAACACCTTTCAACATCCTGTTACACAGGAATCTTTCAAATACATGTCTGATATCCTTCTACAACAGAGCTTTAAGCACCTTATATTGTTACAAGTAAATGAGCCTCACAAATTCTTATTGTATCACCATGAATGCCAACTTAAATCTGAAAATAAACAAAACAGACATCAGTACTTATTTATCACTGTTCTCGCAATTTCAATATCATACCTGACCATTTCAGTCGCTTTATGGACAACAGTTCTTTATCTTATATTGTTGCCTAGCGATGAAGACTGCCTGGGATGCACTACATGTTGTTTAACCAAAGCTGCCTGCAGAAGAACTGTGTTTATCTAATGCAGCAGAAATCCTCACGTTCTAGATAAAGTATGCAGTCAGTGAGATAGGTAAAGGTCTTCAGGGACCATCTCAAGACAGTTTCTTACAAAAAATAAATATATTGAATTTCACAGCAGTTAATGTAAATGTTATTCTAATTTGTCTTGAAAGCATTCTGAATCATTATTGTAGATTATAAAATGGAAAACATGTCATGGATTTTATCAAAAAGTATTCATTAGATTTCAAAATGCGACAGTGTAAATAATTAACAAACATGAACAGGAACAGTTTCAAAAACTGTGCCACCTTTAGTGTGCAGAAAACTGACAGGTAAAAATGACAAAAAACTACAATAGTTTTTTACTTGTAATACCATCCATATAGCCCCACATAGAGATACACACAATAAACTAATGGATATCTTCCCACTATCCTGCTGGTTTGAGGCTATCAATTTTCATCCACTTACTATAAAAGAAGCATGCTTAATAAAAAATATTCCGGAGATTCCCACAGAAAAAAAAAATGCATTCCTTAGGTATCACTAATGATTTACTATCTTGTACACCATAAATACTGCCTTACCAGAGTCAGTTCCATCTCATGCCAGACGTGAGTTTAATCTTGCTCTTAAACCAGATCTGGCTGAAGTTAATGAAATGTCTCATAAACAAAGAAGCACAGCCTATACTGTTGCTATGTTTTTAGATAAACTTACTGGCTTCTTTTGATAGTGAACAATTATGTCATCTCACATGAAGATTGCTCAATGGACAATCTTGACAATTTGAGACCCCATTTGCATGCTTCCATTGTACAACTGTGAATTTAAAAAAAGCATGTGTCAGACCCCAAATCAACATTGTGAAAAGCATGCCAAAAAAAAAGGAAAGAAAAATGAAAAACTGACATGCGGAATTTGAACCAAATCATTTTTCTGTTTGTTACACAACATTTCACAGTCTCTTATGGTGCGTTTAAAGCTATCAAACAACCATTCAAATATCTCTCATATTTCCAGTACCTTACACCCTGTTGCTATAAAGTTCAATAGAACTGCGGTGACCTCTTTACAAGTTCTCCTGATTCATTATCTTCAAGCTCTACACCTGAGTGCTGAATATCCATCAAACTGACACAACCAAAGCAGGTGCCTGGGCTCACACTGACTCATAAACCACAATCCCTGCATTATATATTATTTTACATTGTTAACAGTGTTTACGTTTTTCTATTAATGTGAGCTAAAATTATCAAAGCTATTATCTCTTTAAGTAGTTTTTCTTTTGATGAATAAAACCTGGCTAAATGGGATGAATTTAGCAACCTGAAAGGAAAATATCTTTCTTATCTAAATTTAATACCTACTGAACTCGAGTCATTCTGAATTATTTTTTGAGTAGTTGTGTAGAATGTGTAATATTCTTAGCTAACTTAAGGTTTCTGAAGAGTTACTGTAAGCATACAATTATTTAAGCAACAAGGATAGATGTACAGTAATCATTTTTTCTAATCAAAACCAAATTCCATTTGCAAATACATACCAGTCATAAGTGTGAATTCAGATAAGTTGTTAGGTTACTTCACAATATTGTTACCAATGAAACTATTGTTCAATGTAGATTCAACTCCATGGGGACTCTCGCTGAATGCAATCAGATAAAGAGATTAACATGACTCCTCCTGGCAGAAAAAGCTAATGATGAAACCAGTATGTTGGAAACAAGAGGAGTCGTGTTTTGAAATCTCTTAATTTGATTGCATTTAGTTAGAGTCCCTGTAGAGTTGGATTGATCTTCATAGAACAAAAGTATCATTAGCTTCTCTGACTTGAATAAAAATTTCATTTAAATAAATAAATAAATTACATATTTGCAATTTTCCAATAAAGATTATTATTATTATTGGGAATGAGCCCATCAACACTTAGAAATTCCCAGTTACCTGTATGAAACCACAGTTGATTTGAAAATCAATTTTATGATCCTTCTTCTTCTATAAATAATGTATATCATCCTCAAGTTTGGGTTTAAGATTCTTAATGAGTCAGTTGTGTGACCAGTTATAATTGCAATATAACCGAGGTTTCACATTATGACCCTAAAAATAGTTTCCCAATTTTCGCACACTCAGCAGAAAAATCAGCAATCATAACATTGATGGACTCAATGAAAATCACAGAACTGCAATTCTGATTGTAAATAAGATTCCTAGTTGATACGCGTAGACCTCCATGTTTATCACTCATTTACTGTTATTATGCTAATATTGATATCCCAGAGCAATGCACAGCTACCATTAACGTAAAATAGTTAATCTTCAAGAGGAACCCAGTGTAATATTTAAGTTTTAGAGGAAACTGCAGACTCGTCTCTCAACTACAGCACGCCTCAGCATTTCTATTATCCTCTGACAAAATGTAGAGAAATGAGTTTCCAGTGCACTATGAAACTCGGGGTAAATTTGCTTTAAGTTAACCTTCAATCTAAAGTTTAATGAAAGAGGCTAGAATTGTATGGGCTAACATAGGTCAGTCTATTCTGGTATGGTTAATTCCTGGAGTATGTTGGTATTGAAATCAATAATGATAATTACAGTGATGATGATGATGACGATGATGATAAGCATAACCATATGGAACTTATAAGAATTCAATAAGCAAAATCAAGGTTCATTTATAAATCCCTGTGTTCAAGAAATATTGTATTAAATGTCCTTAAAAATTTTCCCTTGATGATACTTACCTTCAGCTTCAAACATTTCAGCTTTACTGCCAGGTCTGCTTAGAACGTTGTCATCTGTTTTATTAAACTTGCTGTCAGTTGGCGAGTTCCCTATGCTCTAAAAAATAGAAAAAAAAGTCAAATAAGAACAATAATTTTTATGATCTGATGAATTAAATTGTTTTAGAGGAGCAAAAAAGCATTCAAGAGGCCAGAAGAACAACTAACAAACTCAATCTCTGCTCAGATGCATCCCCTTATATGTTTTTCTTAACTTTACTGAAAAAATAATTCCTCTTTTTCTCTTTAAAAACCTTTTATACTATTCAAAATATAGTTTACTTCTAGAATACCTACTTGATTTATCTGATAAACAATATTTCACAAAGTTAGTCCAATTCATTGGTATTTTGGTGAATCAACTGCACAAAGAAACTTACCTCAACTGAATCAATGGAAGACAGTCTTTCCCTATTGCCAAGTCGTACTCTGGGTGTGTTTCTAGGAGATTGATAACTAACATCTGTATCAGAATAGTCTGTGTCAAACTCAGGTTTCGATCTTCTGCCATATTTCTTGCTGCCTTTAACATACTTTGGGGACACTGTTTCTCCTATTGACAGAATAACAGAAACATATTCTTAATCTGGTTTAGGAAATAATTGGTAAAAAAACTTCTCCCTAGAAACTTAAGTCTATAATCCTGAATGGGATGGAATTATCAATCATACATTTTCCATCTTATAAGATACTGTAATAGCATTATTCACTAATATAATTATATTGCTCTGTTTGTTTAAAAATTACTTGAAATCACAAAATCAAAAAGAAATAATAATATATTATTTCTAACTAAATGATGAAATAGATTTTGGGTGGACATCGAATTTTTGCATTCAGTTACAATACCACTAAAGATATATTTAATTTTACCATTCATAAAAATTTCCAACTGTTTTAAAGCATACAGTACATGATATATTGCAATGATAAAATTAAACAGACAAAGGCAGCTGGTTTATTTTAATATCACTACCTGGATCTTCTCTTTGACTGGTTTCATCCTCAGTGGAGGAGGCATCATCAAGAGCATCAACAGCACTTGACAACACTGACACAAAAGCTTCCTTAAACTCGTCAAACCCAACCTGCAATTGCAAATATAACAAACAATCATTTAAGAAGCTTATAATTCATCACATGCATATTGCCACCAAACGTGAATGCAAAGATGGCAAAGATGTCTGTTGCATCTACAACATCAAAATACATTTAAACACACACACACACACACACACAAAAAAAAAAAAAAANAAAAAAAAACGGGGCGTTATAGTAGAAAACCTGCTAGACCAGAGTGTACATGTACATGTAAAAGAAATAATACTAATAAAAACTCACCCTGCCTTCCTCATCACTGCCTAACAATTGTCTGATCACTGCATCACTCTGGTCCTCAAGCTGTAACTTAATGCACAGCTCCTTCAGCTCAGCTTTGTTTAGATAGCCAGTATTGGAATGGTCGCAACTGTCAAATACCTCCCGCAGCTGCATAACATACTCATTGTCTTCAGCCATTTTGGACGGATCATTTATCACAGTTTATGTTCCCAGTTACATTATTTCTCTTAATGTGGTTTATTCCATCGTATGTCAAGTTACAATAAATAACATTTTACCTCAAATATGCCAAACTGAACTTTTTTACATCATTTTTGGCTGCGACAAAAATATGAATGGGCAGCCGCCAGGATTATTGGCTATCATTTCAATCAATCATCCGAAAAGCTGCCATTCATATCCATTACCATTTTTCTTCTTCTTTGAAAGAATGCAAACTAAATTGTCAATATTGGGAGGTTTAATTCTTGTTCTTCTCCAGAGAGTGACGGAAGACATATGTTTACAAAAGAAATTCAAATATTCACACAAATCTCCCACCTGCTAAAAAGCTTCCCTAGATGCAAGAAATGCAAAGCATAGGTGGCGCTGTAAACAAGATAGGCTAAATGCACCTCTCAGAAAGTAAGGTTTGAGAATGCTATAATTTCACGGGTGCAGTTGGTCAGATTTACTATTAAGAAACCTTTGAAGTTAATTATAACACTTAATTTTATTTTATTTATTTATTTTATTATTTTTGGGTTACAAAATCACATATATTCATCTTATTTTTATTGACTTTTGGGAAGGCTATATTTTGCTGTTATAGTTAAAATACATTTTAAATGATTTTTTTTTTTTTATTAAAATATGTAATATTCACATCAATTCTACTGGCAATAAGCAAAGATGACAAACATAATTTTAGAGATAGTTGACTGAGTATCTTTAGTATTCAACAATACATGTGCAATTGATTCAATGTTTTAGATGGTTATTGAAGTCTAAATATACGGCAGGAACAAAAATACATAATATTATTTTGCTGTATGCTAACACAAGGGTGACAGTTGTAAGAACTAAAAATCCTGAAAACATTTCTTGCAATTTCTCATTGCATTTAGACCATATGAATAAAAGATGACCAAAATAAAAACTGAAAATCCTGATATCAGGCATATCATCCTGAAAACTTTTACCCACGTGTTAACATAATGTTAAAATAACAAATTAATTGTAAAACAATAACCTCACCAATGAAGAATAGTCTTTTTTACATCAATTTTCATTGATGCTGGTCATATATCACATTTTACACAATTAAGGGTTGCTCAACTCATGGTATATGAACACCCTGTACAGTAGTTCAGTAAATGATTTTTGATTTATCTAGGTTAAAAACAATAATCTTGAATAAATTATCAGATTACATTTCCATTGTATATTTACTTATACTGTCAGTAAAAAAAACATTTTGATATAATCAAGTACAATTGGCAATTGATAAAATCCATCCATGGTGGAAGAATAAATTCAGAAATAATAGAATGCAGCTCCTCTTAATGCATCCTTCAAGCTTTTGTGGTCAGTAGGAACTGATTTACACTAAAACTGTCATCTTGGCATTTAAAAGGAACAACACAATTTACTTGCTTTCTGGTCCTGTGGCAGCATGGTCCTGATAATATAAAGATATCTTTATTTTAGCATCTTCCATATATATCAAATGAATAAACAAAACTTAATGAGATAATAAGTAATGAAGTATATTATGGAGAAATATGTTAACTAACAGACTACAAGGGTGCATCTTGCATCTAGACTGAAGGTACATTAGTCCAATGGTTCATTAAAAAAAATGTAATGTTTTCATGCACCTACAAACAAACACCTACAGACCTAATACCTGTACTACTGTAGCTAGTACACTCTCATCACTCACACGTCTCACTTCCTTTCTATTGAAGAATCAGAAAAGATGCATTGTACTGCATAAATGTACATTTAAGAGAATCATGTGTCACAAACTCAATAAAATTAATTGTGTAGGCTAAGAAAAGTGGGGCTGCAAACATGTATTAGTACTGCAGCTCTAGGACACCTACTTTAATAAGCTGAATGAGATGTTCAACTGAGGGTCTGTCAGTGGGGTCTTTGCTGCAGTGGATGTAAACCATGTGGCCAGTTGGGTCTATGACAAAATCACCACCCATCTGGAACCAAACAAGTTATAGTCATTACTACCTGTACTACAATGAGTGTGTCACTTTGAATGGGTTCCCATACCTAGATCGATCCATCTTGATTGGTCTAACTCCCTTGTCTGTCACGCCTAACAAATCAGCTAGGGGGTAAAGATAATTACCCCCTAAAAAGCTTTACAAGTTGTGACAGACATTTAAAGGGATTATAACTCTTCATTTTGGCCAAAAAATGAATTTTCCTGGAGTAAACAACAATTTTTCCATACTTACCAATGGTTAATGAATCCATTTTTACATTCAAAGTTAGTCCCTGGTTTTTTTCTAAACAGTTTGGTTTTTTGTTAAAATCTCTTAAGAGATTATAACTGAGTACAGCCATCAATGGAGGTCACGTGATCTGAAGACAAGCTCAGGTATCTGAATAATAGCTATAACTGCCATTTTTGTGGTAAAACAGAATATGTTATATTTCTATGAGTTGTTCACAATGTTTTTATTGTGAAATATAGACATCATACAAAGAGTTATTATCCCTTTAAGCCGATTGAATTGATAGCAATTTAGTGAGACTCCCGGGGAAAACAGATCAGTCCAATTATCTGTGGGAATGGTCCCTTTGCCTCATGTTGTGAAATATCAAAAAAGTTTTCATTATTCTAATACATTGTATATGCCATATACAACAAAATACATTGTTATTACATATTATTTTATTTCTTTTCTTTAGCATTATTTTTATCTTTCAATTAATTTTCTATTTTTTTCTTCATTACCTGCAATGGATCATCCTCCACTGGCTTGGGAAGAGCTCTTCCAGATGCTTTCTGTTCTGCATAATAATTCAGCGTGTCAGTTTTCCACACCTACAAGAAATTCAACAAAAGAAAACATTCAACATATCTGCTGAACAATGATAGCCATATTCATATAAACATTGACAATTTTTTTTTTTTTTTGGGGGGGGGGGGATTTTAAATTATATTTGCACATTAATGAGAAAAGAATTCCTTCATAATATTACAGACACAGAATGTGTACTACATGATTACAAAGGTCATAGGGAGCTCTACAAAAGACAAAAGGCAGTTTATGGTTATGTGAGAACAAAAAAAAAAAAAAAAAATTAAGTCTGCTGTGCTTTTACAAAATTTACTTATTTTTACTTCAATAATATTTCAGTTTATGAATATATATTAACTGACCTTTGACATGGATCTACCTAGGCCAAGAGCATGATACAACTGAAAAATACATTTTCCAAGTGAATTGGACACATGAGATTTATTTATCAAATTCAACATCAAAGTAACCTGGTAATTATTCAAGTTTTTTATGTTACAGAGTTTTAAACACATGGCACATTTGCAATAAACCTAAATACTGTTTTTCAAATTTATATAAACCATTAAACTCAATGAATTAGGATGCAAGAATATAAATACCTTTCTATCTGGGTCTAGTAAGAGTTCATAATGACATTGTGTCACCTCTAACCACTGGCGGGCACCTTCAATTCCTCCAAAAGAGACCACAATTATCTTATTGCCAGCTGCGGTCAGTTCCGACTGAAATCACAACATCACCAAGTTAAGAAATAACTTATGAAGTAAGTCTAAAAGAACTAATAAAACAAATAAACTATCAATCATGGTGGGCATTGTGATAAATGCACTAGTATTCTTAAAAATGATATGTTTTGAATTCTTATTCAAAATTTAGCATTTTATCAACTCTTACATAAATAAAACCCGGTGATTGAAAAAGACAAACATTTTTAACAATGTACAGGTACAAAAAGTTAATTCAGACAATCAGTGGAAAACCAATCTACCTCTCTCTGCTCCACATCTTTTATGTGGTCTCGTCATGGCAGTCAAGCAAAATGGCGCAACAAGATAAGGATTAGGTAGCTGCTGTTCATCCATTCTTTGAGATAAGTTGTTTGATTATTTTGAGAATTTATTAAAGGGAGGTCAACAGGAGCTGGAGAGCCAATCTGTAGAGGTGCTGTGGTATACTCTGTAAAGTATTGCTCTTTGTCTATATCATCAAGAAACCGATTCCATTCCCTCTGAATAAAAAAATAAATAAATAAATAAAAATAAAATTAAAAAAAGGATTAGTATTGTAAAGTTTACTTGCACAAATGTCTTCATAAAATTTCTGTTTGAACAGACAAATGAAAATACTTTTTCTATTGACAGTCTGAATTAATAAAAACTATATGCACTATATCCTTTAAGAGAAAACTAAAAACTTATTCAGTTATGATTTTTGCCAAAATTTATCTACATTCATCAAGTGCAGTGCTAACCTCCACAGCTTCTAATTCATGCCAACTTTCCTGTATTTCCAAATGCCTGAAATTTCTCTCACACGCTTTTTCAAGTTCTTGTCTTGATTTAACACCCAAACTGAAAAATAAATAATATTTATTTCACCATTTAGCAATGTAATGCTTGTTGTGAAAGATATAGATCTATGGATAATTTTACATGATTCATAACTAATATTTAATTTTTTTTCTTTGTATTTTAAAGTGATAGTTCAGTGCATGTTTATGTAAACTGTATTTAGATTTTCTTATTATAAAGTAAATTTTTACCTTGTGAAAAGATTGTAATACACCCCAATTAAACCACCAAGACATGTGTGGTTATCTGTCGCAAAGTCCTTCATAGACTCTGAAATTAAATCAATTATGAAAAATTCAGGTTCTTTTAACCTAAATATATCAAAAGTATATGAAAATCTGGCTTCTCAAAATTTCAACAAATTAATATCTAGGCTTTTAAGATTCTATCTTTTTGAAAAAAATTCACTGAGATCTGAAATATGAGTGTACAGGTCTGTAATTCATTTCTTATGCAGTGATGCACCCAGCTTTTCACATTTAACAAGATAATTAAGTGGCTAAACTTGCCCCTCCAGAATTATAAAACTTTTTGAAATGCACTTTACTGGTACATTAAGTCATTATTTATCAATTATCCTCTATCTTTTAGAAATCTTAAACACAAGGCAAAACATTAGAAAAACTTTTACCTTGTGCATAATCTTTGGCCTTCTTTAAAATCGTCTCAGCCTTATGAATTGCTTCCTCAAGCCCATTATGTAGCAATTCCTTTGTGCAGTCCATATCATACAGTACTCTTTCTAAATCACAATAATTACCAATTCAATTTTTTTTCACTGGAATATGTACTGGGGGCAATACAAGTACTAGTAGTCTGATTAATTATATACTGTTACAATGTAGCAAGCGATTTTTTAAAATGATTTTCACATTTACTTTAGTACAAGATAAAAGATGTATAGATGCACAGAGTGTTTTTTAAAATGATTTTCAAATAAATTTTAAGAAACTGACTTCTACTAGTACTAGTATGTTTACAAAATTGGCATTTGTAAAATGCTTGTAAAAGGGGAAGGGGTAATTATGATATTAATATTTTAGGGCTTACTTCGACAGAAATCGCATTCTTATAATAGGCTAATTACAAAATTAATATCAATCTGTGACCTGCTCCTCCCCTCCAAGGTCCTCCAATTTGCTCACTGCTATATCCAGCACAATTTGTCATTTCATATTCACAAATCATCTATTATTTCATTTTGTATGCAGATTGTCAGTTTGATATCTGTTTACTTATTATTGTGATTATTGTTACTTTTATTTAACTTATTTTACTTACCCTACATATCAACGTGTTTAGATTCTCACTGTAATTAACACGTTGTAATGTTTTGAAACGTGACAAAGGTCAATGGAGAGGGAATTCCCTTCCGCTGACGTCACATTCCATTGCATTGTGGGACTCGACGTGGCATCTTCCGCTTTAGTGGCTTCATCTGTCAATGTGTTACGTGTAGTATTTTTATATTATTTAAGTGTGATTTTTGGTATAAAGACAACACACTTTCAAACCATAAAGGTAAGTTTATATTTTAAAGACAGTTTTGATTGTTTTAAAACCTACAATTATGCAGCTTTTCGTTTACCGGCTTCTATTAATATCGTCGGCACTTCACTTCAGTTTGGCGTTGAAGCTGAAGCCGGCTGGAAAGTTTCAGTCCAGGCCCAAATAGACCGTTAAAAGCTGACAATCATAGGCAGTGAGAAGTCGAGTAGAGTTAATGAATCGCCCTTATCTTTATATGTTAACATTGAGTATTTTTGGTCGTTAAGCAGAGACATATGTGCGTCTAAATAACATTCGAACGCGCGAGTCGTCGTCTTCCAAGTTCTACCCCTAGTTCTAGTTAGATAAATCTGGCACATTGAGACAGTGCTAACCAAATTCATTTTAGTACACCATCCCCAGCAAACATAGTCAGAAGGCAGGCAAGGTAGAACGCTATGTCTCAGTATGTTCAGACAAAATAGTGCAGTATTCTGCAAATCAACACACAGTTTTGTGAATATAAAAATCTCCTCAGCCAGTTGCAATACAATCATTATTATATCTAGCTAAATGTTTTCTTTTCTCATGTTTTCCTACTTTTCAGGTCATATAGCATGGCTACATACCAAGAATTCATTCAGCAAAATGAAGACCGGGATGGAGTACGCTTTACCTGGAATGTGTGGCCTTCAAGTCGTCTGGAGGCAACAAGAATGGTCGTGCCATTAGCTTGTCTGTATACTCCTATAAAAGAAAGACCTGATCTACCACCTATAAACTATGAGCCAATTTTGTGTACAAGACCAAACTGTAGAGCAGTCCTGAATCCATATTGGTAAGGGTGTAATCATTAGCATTACAACATATCTTTTTTTAAGTGTTTTGATACTCCCTACACAGAGACATTTCACAAAGCAAAGGAAATATTCCAGTTCATAAAACAAAAAACATTTTTTCATCAATGTTAATGAATTTTAAAAGTATGAATTTTACAACATTGTTTTAAAGTATTTACGAAATGTTTTTTTCTTTCTTTCCAGTCAAGTGGATTACAGAGCCAAGTTGTGGGCTTGCAATTTCTGTTTCAATAGAAACCCAGTAAGTGTTTGAAATGGCTAATTAGTCATCATAGAATATCTCTATTCTCAATATTTAAAGTGATTGGGACTATGTTTAACATTATATAAAGTACATTTTATATGTATTTAGTAAATAGCGAAAGATATCATTTTGATTAATTTTCAGTGTATTTTTTTATTATTATAAGGCATTTCTTAGTAGGTTATTTGGCTAAGTAGAAATTTGTGCATGTGTTTGTGTTCTCTTTCAGTTCCCACCTCAGTATGCAGCTATCTCTGAGCAGCACCAACCTGCAGAGATCATCCCACAGTTCACCACTTTGGAGTATACCTTGCCAGTAAGTTGACACCGTGGGCCTTTTAGGACCTATGTAGGAATGCACTGTTACTGTTATTAAACATGAAAATAAAATAAATAGTCATTGAATATTATATTTTGGATGTCGTGTGTCATTGAAATTAGACAAAAATACTTGAAACCTAATTTTGATTAAAGGTGAATGTAGAAGTCTGGAGCAAATATGTCTTTAAAATAATAATATTGAAGAGTATCTTAATGACATGTTACAGATTTCACTGTAAATAGAATTTTTACTGTCTTTATAAAGTGAGGACTCACTTTAAGTAAAGTTTGTCCCTTGTTTATCTTTTCCAGAGAGTGACCTGTCCACCACCAGTGTTCCTTATTGTTCTGGACACTTGCATGGATGAGGATGACTTGCAGGCTGTTAAGGTAGCTTATTGGCCTCATAGATAATCTTCCAATTTAGCTCATAAACATTAGTGGTTTTTGGTATTTATTTATTAATGATACCAAAATTTACAGATTAATTATAGTTTAAAGTAATGATGATGGCACAAAGAGAGTATTTATCTTGCATGTTTTTGTTTTTCAACTGAAGATGTAGAGAAAGTCACAATCTCATTGGTTTTCCTGTTTAAACATGAGAAAGTCTTCACAACAAAAAAAAACTTGGTTTTCTATCCTTTCATAATATATATATATCAGGTTTTATTTGGAATACTGCCTTTATTACAGGAATCTCTGCAGATGTCCCTGTCTCTGTTACCACCCAATGCCCTGATTGGTCTCATCACGTACGGCAAGATGGTGCAAGTGCACGAGTTGGGATGTGAGGGATATTCCAAGAGTTACGTGTTCAGAGGCACAAAAGACCTCACCTCAAAGCAGATTCATGACATGCTGGGTATAGGGCGTGGTGCAGCCCCAGGGGGTAACCCCCAGCAACAGAGGGGTGCCCCACAGCAACCACATGGCCCTCAGCAACATTATCAGTTGCCATCGAACAGGTATATTGTTTTATTTTTTGTACGCATGGAGTGTGGTTATAGCTGATGCTTAGATTCAATTTATACTGTACTGATTGTAGAAAAGATTGCAAAATACCAATGCTTGTGCCTTACCCATACTAAGACAATCATGTGCCTGTACAAAAGATAACAACAAAAAAATCAGTCAGGAATTTAGACATTCATCATGATTGCTAATGTAAAGTGCTATGGATGAGCATAGAAGATAAATTTTGAAAGCCAACACCCAGATCTAACATTTAAAAACTAAATTCTGTTTGCAGATTTCTGCAGCCAGTGCACAAATGTGATATGAGTTTGACTGACCTACTGGGTGAACTGCAGAGCGACCCATGGCCTGTGGCACAGGGCAAGCGTCCACTCAGATCTTCAGGGGTGGCCCTGTCCATAGCTGTTGGACTTTTGGAGGTAATCAAGTGCTCCACATTAATAAACCTGCCTTTTCCCAATTTAATATATCAACATAGGTGTACTCAAATTGCTTTCGGTGTTGCTATTAATTGTTTTCCTAATGCCATAGACCTTCACAGTGACTGTCAGAAAACAAGCCAGCATGATTTCAAATATAAACATCTATTGCCTGTTTCCTCCAGAGCACCTACCCCAACACTGGGGCCCGTATCATGATGTTTGCTGGGGGAGCATGCTCACAGGGCCCAGGGATGGTGGTGGATGATGAGCTGAAGCACCCCATCAGGTCCCATCATGATATTGAGAAAGATAATGCCAAGTACATGAAGAAAGCTATGAAGGTGGGATATCACATTTACCATACTATCAACAAAGTACGGTATACGTGGTCAGGAGAGCCATTCTAATCCGTCTTTCAAAGTCTTCAAAGTATGTAAATTAAATCTTCACATAACATTTTTAATGTTGCTGATCCTGACTTTGATACGTTGAATCTGAAAAGACAGAATTCGATTTTGTCCTATCTCTTTTACTGTAAAATGTAAAATATATTATCCTCTGTCTTTTAGCATTATGAAAGCCTTGCTACCAGAGCTGCAAACAATGGTCATGTGGTGGACCTGTATTCGTGTGCATTAGATCAGACTGGTCTGCATGAAATGAAATATGTCTCTAACTACACCGGGTAAGAATTGCTGCTTTAAATTTGGAATAGTAATTCTCAAATCATGAATGATGATCAATGTCAATAAAACTGGTTGGTGTGGTACATTTAATTTAATGTTCAGTTGTTGGTGTTTGTTTGATGATATATCTAAAAGCCAATCCACTCACTGCTATGGTTAATATATTAATATTCTTTTTGGGATGTTTGGTGTTTACATGCAATAAAGCCATCCTTCATATTTTATATTTGAACATCCCCTTTCAAATGCTTTCTTTATCCTTCAGGGGGCACATGGTGATGGGTGACTCCTTCAACACATCATTGTTCAAGCAGACCTTCCAGAGAGTATTTGCCAAGGACCAGAAAGGAGAGTTCAAGATGGGCTTTGGAGCTTCTATGGAGGTGAAGGTAAGGGGCAGATGGTGGTTACTGCAATTAATCATTGCAATCATTTTTCATATTTCTGTTTGTCATTTACATAATCCATCTCATCTTTACATAACTGCTGATATAGTTAAGCAAACGTCTGATCCCATTCTGACTAAATGATCCAAAATAAATTTTGGATATTTACCTGTTTTTCTCCAACCCCCTTTTTCTTAGCATTGGTCCTTGAAATATATAAAGATGTTAATTGATAAAAAGTGGCTGTAAGTTTTTGGTTAAATAATGATGCACATATGTCATCCACAGACCTCCAGAGAGTTGAAGATCAGTGGCTGTGTGGGGTCTTGTGTGGCAGGGAATGTCAAAGGTCAGAATATTTCGGACACAGAGATTGGAGTGGGAGGGGTGTCTTCATGGAAGATGTGTGGCCTCTATCCCAATACTACACATGCTCTGTTCTTTGAGGTGGTCAATCAGGTAAGTTGANCACAAGACTGGTGGCTGTGTCCCTTACTTTGTGTATGTGGGGGTCTATACGAATGCGCTTGCTCCAGCTGGTGGTACAATATTCGGAGGCGGTATCGCCTCTCTGATCCTCTAGTTTGGTTGATAGTTTTCTGTATGTGCTATTCATTTAATGTATTGTTACTGTTTTGAAATATGGTTTGACTCCTGGCTTTATCTTTGACAGTGTTCATCTAATACTTGCTTGTTTCTTTGCTGTGAAGTTGTGGCCAAATATTCAACAAGATATTTCTTTATGTTTGTTATTTACGTATGAACATACTTTATACCAGTCTTTCTGATTGCCTTAATATTCTTTTCAGCACAATGCTCCAATACCTCAAGGTGGACGAGGCTACATACAATTCATCACTCAGTATCAGCACTCCAGTGGACAAAAGAGAGTGAGAGTTACAACAGTGGCAAGGAAGTAGGTTTAAAACTGATTATCTCACCAAAAAAAAAAAAAAAAAAAAAAAAAAACAATTTGAAATTTTAAACTGAACTTTGTTTTCACCAGTTAAAGACTACTGCTTGTTTTAGCGTGTGTACATGTTTTTAGCCGGATGCAAACAATCTTTTTGGTAAAATGCACTTTAAAGTTGGTACTTGTTGTCCATTGATTTTCAAAGTACGTTCCTTTTTTGTTTAGATGTTGATATATATACAACTGACACATTTTTCAGTTGGGCTGATGCCTCTTTGAACATTCAGCACATATCAGCGGGCTTTGATCAAGAGGCAGCTGCTGTGATAATGGCCAGAACAGCCGTGTTCAGAGCAGAGACTGATGAAGGTCCAGATGTTCTGAGGTGGCTTGATAGAAACTTGATAAGACTGGTAAGGAAGTTTTCGTAAGATTTCTGAGGCCAGTTTCACAGTATGACTTATGTCGAGAATCAGTCTTAGCAAAGACGGCTAAAAATTTAAGCTGACTGAGTTGAGTTTATACAAAGGATCTACCTCTTTATTTTGTCTTTTAATTAAGCCCCATCAGCAGACAAGAAATGCATTTTGTCAAGCACATCATTGAACTATATATTACAGCATGTATTATACCATTTCTGAACCTAGGATTGAACCTTTGATCTAATTCACTAGTTAACTCATTTTTTCATATTGTAGTCAAAGGAATAAGATTTATCTGGAATTAATCATTATTTTTTTTTTTCTTTTTTCAGTGCCAGAAGTTTGGAGACTACCACAAAGATGATCAAAATTCTTTCCGATTTTCTGAAACTTTTTCATTGTTCCCACAATTCATGTTCCATCTCAGAAGATCACAGTTCTTACAAGTTTTTAACAATAGTCCTGATGAAACATCCTATTACAGGTGAGAATAAATAGTGATATAGCTCACATTATGTCTTCTGTGATATTTCAGATTCACATATGAATATATATTATCTCTCTTCTTGTGAATGAGAAAATATAATAAGTAATTGAATAATTACAAAAGTAAGAAAAATTATGTGTGTCTTGTACATGATTTGATGTTACAGCTGTGGAATACCATAAAAAAAGTTTATATGTTGAGGAATTGTGATTTATTTCAGGCATATGCTGAACAGGGAAGATTTAACTCAGTCTTTGATTATGATACAGCCCATTTTATATGCATACTCATTCAATGGACCTCCAGAGGTGAGTGTTATAAGGAGGGGGGTCTCTGTTGTAATATAATTTAACTGTCTTACGCATATCATCATTCAAGTAATTAGCTTCACTATCCATTTGTTGCAACATTATTTATTAGAGCTTTATTTGGAAAACGTTTATTTGGTATTAACTGATAAAGATATCTTGTCTCTTTTAGTAACATAGAAGGTCTTAGTTAAAGTCATCTATATGTGACATTCTAAAATTTTCCCTTTGTTGCAGCCTGTATTATTGGACACAAGCAGTATCCAACCAGACAGAATTCTCTTGATGGACACATTTTTCCAAATAGTCATTTACCATGGTGCTGTAAGTGGCTGTATTTTTCAATATATATCTATGATTAAAAATTGAAACAATCATGGCACAAGTGTGCATAGGAGGTTCTTTAGGGGTCATCCATTTTTATCATCATTTGTCCAAGACTACAAAGAGTAGACTTTTCTAGTACAGGGGAAATGCTAAAAATGATAACCTTTGACAGCAGTTTGGATCCTTTTTTCTTTTTTTCAAAAGTGTACAGAGGGCATAAACTCCCTCCCCCAATGTATATTTTGTAGACTTAATGATAAATATTGAGGATCCCTTAGATTATTTTATGAGTTTTGTTGATAAAAGTTTAGTGAATCGATACTTCAAAAGTTCTCTTCTGTCAGATCTGTAAATTATTCACAATTATATTGTGTCATCTGCATCATCTTCAAACTTTGCATATGGAGTGCTTAAAGAAGATTTAATTGTCTTTTCTTTCCAGACTGTAGCATCATGGAGAAAACAAGGCTATCAGAATTTACCTGAGTATGAAAATTTCAAGCAGTTACTTCAGGCCCCTGTAGATGATGCCCAGGATATTCTACAAACCAGGTTTCCAATGCCAAGATACATTGATACAGAAGCTGATGGATCACAGGTAAGACTAAGACAACTATATGGGCTGAATCTGGGCCTTGTGTTATTTTGAATTTTATTATTCTTTGTTTTATCATTACTTACATTTTGCCTTAATGATTTACAATACCAGGAAATACCTGGCGGGAAACGTTGAAATCTTTTATCCTACAAAATAAATGGTTTGTGTTATTGTCATTCTTGTGACTGTAAATAGAATTAATTTTTTAGGGGTAGGGAGGAAGGGTGTCTGAAGATATTTTCAGCATTATGAGTAAAATAAGACTAGTTCTGAAGATAAGGGTGTGGTTATCTGTCTATTAACAGTTACTGTATTTTTCATTTCTTCAATATTAGGCACGTTTCTTACTGTCAAGAGTGAATCCATCCCAAACCCACAACAACATGTATGGATGGGGTCAGGTAAGTTATTCTATGGTAAACATTTTGTCATGAGTTTTACAACATTTTTACTAGTTTGGAAAAGGTATGTTTGGTAATGTTTGTCAGATGAAAAACATTTATCCATGATTTGAGTTGAACACACTTAAGTAGATGAACTTCTTTTCTTACAGATTTATAGGTTTACTTTTCTTTAATTATACTAATAGTGAATGTTCCACCTCTGTTTTTGCAATCAACACATATTTTAGATGACTGTAATTTTTCTTTTTTCTGTTAGAATTATATCTTTTCAATAACTCAATTTCACATCTCTTTCTCCCTCTCTCTAATAGCAACAGGCAAACACGGTTTGTTCTTTTTTACTTACATTTTACATTTTTCTTCTAGCTGTAAAATCATTTAGTTATATTAACATAGCTCTAGTCATAGCCAGGTTTATTGAGGTTATTGGCATTAGTCTTAATATACTGCATGTTTGAGAGGAATTGCTTACGTGGGAATAGCAGGTTTTAAAAAGGTCTTAACTTCCAGGCTGCAATTACCCTATGTCAAACTGCCAACTCATAAAGTGCCACCAAGGCAGAGCCATCTTAGTCACTAAGTTGCATAGAAATAACAATATTGCTTTTATGTCACACAGAAAGATCAGTTTACATGTATGCAGATTACCTCAAACTTTAAATGTGCTGTGGTCATTCATAGTAATTTAACAAATTACAGTTTATGAATAATTCCCTTATTAACTGAATGGACCCTTTGTTGTAGAGAGACAATATTTGATATCTAAATGAGCTGTACAGAGAGGAACTAGGGTTGAGAAATTCAGCAGAAATTTAATAGCATTTGTCATGAATGGTATTAGGTATTGAAAACACACTTGGGTATGGGAATTTAGTGGTATGCAGGAGATTGTCACTGTCACTTACCTTAGGCTTTTAAATGCCATAAAGACATTTGGATTTTTAAATTAACAGGTCATATGGCCTGATTACAAACCTTGTTATTGGAGTGGTATTCTCTATAAACATACTATGTATGTTTATAGTATGTTTATAAACATACTATGTATGAATCAATAAAGAATGGAGAATTAAATCTCATACCGGATACTTGCTTATGGTAGACATTTAATCTATATCCTATAGGCTTCATCAAGAAATTGAACCAATTTTTACTGTTTTCATTTCCATTCCTTATTGATTGATACATCTGGGTGATTCAGATCATACACTTTGCCAACATGTATGGTGTATGAAGGTTTTGGTGTCTCTTAACATTGCACATCTCTTTGCAAATGATGTTAAAGTGTTGGTGATGGAAATAAAAGCTGTAGCTCCTTTAATCTTAAAATTTGCTGGCATTTGCTGAGATTGTACTAGCTGGACCAAGGGTAAAAGTGTTCTTTTCTAGAAATTGAAGGCTGGCATTTTTATTGTCATTGACAGTCATTTGTAGTCCACTAAAATGCAGTAACTATCAGTCTATTATTTTTTAAATTAATTTTGTATATTTTTCATTGTTTTTATTATTTTTATTTTTTTATTTTATTTATATGTTTATTTACTTACTTTTTGTCAAACAGACCCAACATCCATGTTAGCAGATTGCTACTAGTTACTCTCTGGTAAAAGTACAATTAAGTTAAAAGACTTTTAAAAGACTTGACTTCAGCTCTTTTGGGAGACATGGCCCTGGTATTGGGGCCTTCATCTTGCATCTGGTTTGTTGGACAACCAGGGATGAGATTTTTCTGACTGTTGTTGGACTTTCAGCCCCCTGGACCCCACGCCATATTTTCCAACTTTTTCTCTGAATGGCAGTATTATCCCCAAGTCAACTGTCTAGTCCTTTTACAAATTAATTTGGGATCTTGAACTTGCACATCTTTAACATTTCTTGTTTTAAATATTCCAATATGGTTTTCATGGACGTGATATTGTTTTTCAGGATGGTGGTGCACCAGTTTTGACAGATGACGTTAGCTTACAAATTTTCATGGAACATCTGAAGAAGCTTGCAGTGTCCAGTTCAACATAACACAGAGAAAAGCATTTCTGTGCAAAAATAAATAAATAATTTGAACGATTTGCCTTTTGAAAAGAGAGGTCTGTGTTTTGTAATAATAGAGTGAAACTGAATAGGCAGTTCAATAAGACCTTATGTGATAGGATCCAAACGGTTGTAGCTGATACGAAGACAGAAGAAAGGGACACACACTGAAACTGTATGTTGGCACTAGATTTTCTATGCATTGTATGCATAGACTTATGAATTCAACAATTTCTTGATGTCAGAATAGTTTGATATGCTTCTATTGAAATGGTGCCTTTGCATGAGACACTGCAAAATTATATTTGAGCATGCTTATTCCATGATATTAAACTATTTCTACACAGTTGATGACAATGGCTGTTTTGGATAAAAAAATATTTTATGCCAAATTCCATATACACATGTATATGTGAATATAATATTTATGATATAGTATTAAATAAATATGACATTAAAATGGCGTGTTGTATTAAATTAGGAAGCGAAATGTCAAATGTGCTTCTTCTCTGTGTCAAAATAATTATATGCCAGTGGTATGATTAATGATTATAGGATAGTTTACTCGATGGTTTGTTAGCCATAGTTTCAAAAATTTCGGATTATAAATGGATAAAAAAATAAAGATGCTTTTACAAAGAAAACTTAGTCAACAATATTTATTTACACCATCCTTTCACCCATTAGGACTTTTGAAACTAGTACAAATAAATAAAACTTTGGTGCAATCATACATTTAAACGGGTTATTTTGAAGCTAGTTTCATGAAAATAATAGAAGCAATTTCAATAGTAAACATTATCTGGTGTATAGAGTATTATAAAGTATAATATAACCTTCAACAGAACTCCTCTCCGTTACTTGAAGCAATCCAAGTGTCCAAAATATATATTCCTTAACATCATGCCATCATTTGTCTAAATCTGTCGTTGGATGCTTCTTGTGAATAAAAAATGTTAGGGTGCAACAAGTCTTTGCAAAACTTAACATCAATGATCTGTTTCTTTATCAACCCCAAATAAAGCAAGCCACCATTGTCTTAAAGCCGATGGAAAAAAATTGTATGCAGAGTATTCCATTAACAAATACTGATTAATATACTTGTAGACTATGTAAAGGCAGTGTTAATATAAAACCCCAGCTCATAATTATAATAATTGTAAAGTATAGAATGTAACTTAGTATTATGAATTCAAAAGAAATCTGTGACATTTTCCCTTATTTTTCTTTAAGTAATAAACTAACAGCAGTACTTCAGTTACAATAACACATCCTGAATTAATATTGAAGGAATTGAAGCCACTTGGTTTGCTTCCATCTCTTAACAGAAAATTACTCTCACAGTCTTTCTTATTAAACAAAATGACTTTTAATCGGTGATACAGAAACTGATGCACATCGCCAACAAACTTAAGTAATGCTGAATTCAACAAGACCTTACTTATCCAAAACTGTGACCATAACTGTGAGTCAGAAGTCAGACAACCTAAATGTTCCATGTCATTGTGTGATCTTGTGCAATCTTGTTCTATTCTGTCCAGCAGAAATGTACCTAGTGGAGGAATCTTATACTCATCTTCTGTTCAACGTCAACTCTCTCCATAGCCTGTATCATAAAAAAAAACAAAAACATGCTGAATCACAACATACAAAGTGGTTCAAGTTAGTAATATTGATATATTATACATAAAGTTTCTTATTGGATAAAATAATGAAGTAAAACAACAACAAAATTATATGAATCATGAAATATTTGCACGGCACTGAGCCTATTTAAAAATGTGCCCAGTTTCATGCTTATATTTTTTGTCAAATAAACAGCATTTCAGAGTCATGAGCATCCATTCTACACACCTTGGCAAACTCCTCAAATGAAATCATACTGTCTCCATCCTGATCAGCCTCAGCAATTGTTCTGTCTGCAATACTACCCAACTGGGGAAAGAAAGTATTTCACAAAGTTAAAATCTCAAACATTCAACTTTTCAATAATATGCCTATGTACATATTTTGGTTTACTGGGATGATAATTTTGTTTGATATTTTTTTTATAAGTACCTGAAACAAAAAAAAAGCTAGCATTAACAAACCTAGGATGATGGCAAACATTAATGCATAATTAAGTACTAATACAGGGGTCGACTTAACCGCTAGAAAGTTGGCAAACATGCGTATTTGTACTAGTAATATACAAACCTTATTCATATAATATTAATGTCTTAAATCTTTCATGTTCAGTATCTTAAAACAGAAGACATTTTTACAATTTAACTACATAATTACATTAATTATATATTTAAATATATTTGGTTTACCTGTTCCTCAGAGATGTTGGCACCAACCATCATGTGCAACACTGCCAGCAGTTCCTCTCTTGAGATCTTGTCATCTCCATCAAGATCATACATTTTAAATGCAACTAAAAAATCAGGTAAACCAAACTCAATAACGGATTTCATAATTAATTTTGTCATCATGTATAAAATTTCATTTTTCTTTTTAAAATACTAACACATTAACAGCTGCTTTTAATATTTAGATGATTTCAACAGATGAGCTTGAGAGCAACACACCCTGATTCATAAAGCGACTTACATTTAAGTTTCTCATCTCTACTGTTCAATTCATTGAGGCGGTTTGTTTTGATTGGTCGGAACCTGGCAAGAGTTCTCATGAACTGACGGAAGTTAACACTGTCATCATTGCTAAGAAAAAAGAATACATAAAAACACTGCATAAAAAGTACACTGCAATTTTTAGATTATCATTTTCATGCATGAAATACCCATCAACAGGTCATCCAAAAATGGCAAAAGGCTTAAGTGAAGTGTAGATATCTAATCCCTCTACAGAACGTCACGTGTCTTTTAATATTAATATTATAAAATTACAAACCTTTCCTGGAAAAATGCATGGACTATTCTGTCACCTAATGGATTAATGGCTAGTTCTGGAATCCTCAAGAAGTCTTCTCGACTATAAAAGAAAACATATAAATCCATAAACAAAGTAGGATTATTTAAACACATTTTGCTCATCCATAGTTCAAGAAATACAACAATGGTATTTGTTGCATCTGCTGTCACTTGCTATTTAAATTCACTAAAAATAGTAATAAAGCTCAATGCCCGTCTTGGTTCTGTTACTAGTAAACATTTAAACATGAATTCCAGTTCAATTTGCTTGCCAACCCTTATAACAAAAGACTAACTACTGTTAATTACATACCTGAAAATTATACTTTTAAGTTCAAGTATTTAAATTATGTAGATCTAAATTTAAATATACATAATAATTTAATTAATCATCATATGCTTTTCAATATTCTACTATACCAAAACTATAAAACTTTAACCTTTTAGCTGCAATTTTAAATAAATTGTAATCATCATTATCATTATTACTATACCTGAGGAAACCATTGTTGGTCTTATCCAGACTTGTAAAACGGCTGTACAGTCTAACAATCTGGTTGTGGGAAACTGAAAAATAATGTTTAGACTTTAATTGAAAGATTTTCCATTTAATTTACAATGAAAGCAATGGTCAAGGCAGGATTTTGAAACAGGCCGTCCAAAATTATTGCATTGGAGGGGGGGATTTCTTTGCGACCAAGCGCGAGATTACCCACATAATGTAAGTCTAACATTCTAAATAATAAGGGCTGAAACAGTTTTCAAGAAAGAGACGATTTCCGTTCAGAGGTGACATTGAAAATTTTACTTACATCCAGTTTCCCTTTGTATTTCGCTAACTTCTTCGTCTTGAAGAAGGATTGATGCCTTGGAACCCATCTTAGCTATTAAATAGTGAATAATTTATAAAAATGATGAAAAAAGTATATCTTTACATGTCTTACAATCTTTTTATAATCACTTCTCGATCAACAGAGGAAGGCGGAAGTGACGTAATGACGTAATGACGATGTTGGGGATAAATGCAAAATTACACACAGTGTGCTCTTCTATAAAAATAATATAGGCTTCACAGTCACCAACAAACAATGGAAGAATTATTTGGCCCAAAATGATTTGGAAAATCTAATTTTGGTAATTTCAATTGACGGCATATGTAACGTTCATAGACCCGCAGTAAATGTGTTTTCGCAGCCAGTGACCTTACAGTATCCCAGCTTGGACAGGTCGGTTCTGTGAAAATATGCATTTGTAATATTCGGTGTGAGACATGTAACATTTTGACCATTTCTTATAATTAGTATTTTTGCCCTTATGTTTACCCATTTTCACACCCATTAATTGACCATTAGCTAGTTGTAGGTAACACACAGGTAGCTACATACATGTACACTGTACATGTACAGTATCTTATAATTATTCTACATGTACATGTATGTATTCAAATGTAACAATTACTAGATGCGGCCCCCAGATTTCCTTTAACTATTTCCATATCCCTCAGGTCGTTAAATGTCTCTGGTAATATGCATGTGTCTGGGTCATATTCAGACTTGGTTACATCAGTGCTTGTCTAGTCGTCTTTCAAATGCCTAAGCCTTTGATTTGATTTGATTTATTTCATATTAAAATTGAATCTTATACATTAAATTTTATCCACAATATTCATTAATACATGGATTACACAGTAAAGTATAAAACTTATTACCAATATGGTTTATTTGTATTTGATGAGATTACTGGTATATATATATATATATATATATGTGTGTGTGACCAGCACCAGTTGGTGGATTCAGGCAGTGAGTTTCAGAGCTTTGCTACTCAAAGGCCGAAGTAGTTTTGCTGTGCCTTTATATAGGGTGTTGAAACTAGCAATTTGTATAAATGGAATATGGAAATATCCAAGCTAATGAAAGTAAAGAATATGTCAGACAACCAGTAACTTTAATCTCTGTAAAAAGGATATCATGTTCCACTGCATGGCTGTATATCATAATTTATAATTACTACGTAGTAAGTATATCTAAACATTTACATATTTCATTATACTTCTCACATATTTGTTTGGTCATGGCCTAAGCGCCTTTGTAAAAATATGCTAAAACTAAAAATGATGATGATGATGATTACATGTATTATTATTTATGGCCTCTGGTTATTCCATCTGGAGCAGGATTCAATATGTACTTGGATGCCATTCTAGTGTCATAAACCTCATGAAGGATCTTGTAGGTCCCAATCATATCCCCTCACTGTCAGATGCCTCTGTATACCAATGTTGGTGACTTCAACTCTTTTTGTTGCTCTTCATAGCTCAGGTCATGTAAGCAAGTTATATGTTTAGTTGCTCTGTGCTGTACATTCTCAATTGTGTTTAGGTCTTCTGATAGAGAAACCATGAGACATTTCCTTACTCCACATGTGGCCTAACAAGTGCTGTGTTGAGTTGCCTGAAAGAGACCATGTCTGCATATTGGTATGTCCTTGTTATGGATCCCATGGTTCTATTGGATGTCAGAACAGCATTGCATGGGCTTCAAGTGATCATTTGGGGCCAAGGATCACACCGATGTCGTTCTCTTCTGATGCCCTGATCAGGATGTGATGACCAGTTTGGCCCCTCATTGAATATTGGGGGGGGGGGGGGGAGCATACATGTATTTATGGCATTTTGTGTAAACATCAACTAGAGTTACTTATGTGGTCTGTGATCCTTATGGCATGAATCTTAGTTTGGTTATCTAGGTGTGAAATAAATGATCTAAGTAGGGTGAAAAGGTTTTAGAAGGTAAGTTGTACTGGTAGATTATTTCAGACGGTGCATGTATTCTTTCATTTTCAGTCTGTTTGGAAAGAAAGACCATGCTTGCTTAAGTGCTTACACTTTTATCATATTATACTTGCAGGCATTATACACAATGCTAATGGCACGTCCACTGACAGCTGTTCTACACTCTGGGAACAATATACTAAAGACCAATGGTATTCAGAGACTTCAGACATGTGTGATTTCCAAAAGATACAAAAGGCAGTCGGTCCTCCATCATAAAAAAAAACCACCATCTTATTATGTAGGCATACCAACTACAGATGAAGTTATAGAAAACTTTCCACAACACCTTAAGATGTGGGGAAAAAAATTACGCAATAATCCCTTGTCTCTCCTTTCGCCTATTAGCCAAGAAATCAGCCAACAAGTCCGCCATGGTGATCTTCGTATTGTATGGAAGTTTAAGGGGGAAGATAGTCTTAATGACTGGATTCTGAGCACAGACAAGCAAGAAAATCTTGGATTTTCTGAGGCAGAACTTGTCTTAACAAAAAACAATCATGGACATTTCCGAGGAACCCTTGCAACAACTATTCAGAATAGAGAATTGCAAGAGAGAGCAGGATATTGTTCATTAATTAACAAGAGGAGATGGGTTAGACTATTTTTTTTTTATTAACCACCCTCTCAGACATTCTTGTTGAAATCAATTTGAGGCCATTCAGAATGAGAAGAGCCGAGTGCTAAACCTAAAGTGCACGACCTAAATATGGCGGACCTACATGAAAGGAAGACTGTTTAATCCTGTAATAGTCTCTGCGCCTCTCACACGGCTCCCCACGCATTGTCCCTTGACCGATTGAATTGACATGAGATTTAATTACTGTGCCCATGCAGGAATTAATGACACGTGGGGAGGTGTATGAGAGGCGGAGAGACCATTACACAATTAAGCGGTCTTCCTTTCATGTATGTCCGCCATATTTAGGTCGTGGCCTAGCTAGCACTTGGCTCATCTCATTCTGAATGGCCTCTTTCATGCCTTGGAGTTTAAATTTTCTTTGGCCTGATACATTTGTTTTTCCAGATAATTTTGAATTTTTGAGATGTGAGACAAAGAGACTATCTGTGAAATAGCCTTTTTTATGTACAGACACAGATGTGTCTGTACATATAGCCATCATCTGCGTCTGTCGTCGCCGTCGCCGTCGTCGCTGTCGCCGTCGTCGCCGTCNCACGATTAAGCGGTCTTCCTTTCATGTATGTCCGCCATATTTAGGTCGTGGCCTAGCTAGCACTTGGCTCATCTCATTCTGAATGGCCTCTTTCATGCCTTGGAGTTTAAATTTTCTTTGGCCTGATACATTTGTTTTTCCAGATAATTTTGAATTTTTGAGATGTGAGACAAAGAGACTATCTGTGAAATAGCCTTTTTTAACTGTTGGGTCTTGTAAATATATGAATAATTGAGCAATTGATATGCAGTCTGTTTTAATCCATGGTATATGTCTATTTAGGAATCTTTTGGACGACGAGCCCCTTTTGATTGGTCAGACTACACACATCTTGTTATCCGTTGCCGTGGCGATGGGAGAGTGTATGGAATTGGGCTTGGGCGTGATGAACAGTTTAACCTCAACTTTTATGACATGCACAACTTCTTCTTGTACACAAGGGGTGGTCCTTATTGGCAGACTATCAAGGTGAAAATAAATAACTATAGTTTTAGGGCGTATTCCCATAGATTTTAGATCGATCTATCCCCCCTGGGAAGTCTCACTAGATTACTGTCAGATCATCCGACTTAAATGTCTGTCCCGCCAACTACAAGCTGTAAGGGGGTAATTAACTTTCGTGCCCGCTTGGTTCTGTTTAGCATGAACCCCCCAGGGAGTTAGGTCGATCTAGTTTGGATCGATCTAATCTCTGGGAATGGGGTCTTAGACTCAGTTCCCACAGATTTAGACCGATCCATCTGGATAGACCTAACTCCCTGGGGGGTTCATGCTAAATTGCTGTCAGCTTCCGGGAGCCTGGCACACACTAAAGTTAAGCTGACATCAATCTAGTGAGACTCAACAGGGGGATAGATCAATCTAAATATCTGTGGGAATGGTCTCTTATTTACTTCAGGATTAGAGGAAATATGTGCTTATAAATCTAAATTTCTATTGACTGTAATCTAAACCGTTATTACTAACCTCCTGCTGTTTTATCAAACTTAATTATAGCACTTTTTTTTCTTATTAGCTGGAATAAATAATAAAACACGTATTTTCAGAAAATTGTCATTTTTTNTTTTTGTGAAAATTTAATTTTTCACATATTGGCATTTCCAAGGTGCGACTTAGAACCTCCACGGGCTTGAAGACCCGTGCTAGTCACATTTTGTGAAAATCCATGACACTTATATTTTATTATTAAAAATCGATGGTCATTATGCTGTTAAGCATTATGTAATGTTGCATCAAAATAGCAGAAAACACAATTTTTGGTGCTGCTGCCTTGATGACCATTATGGAAAAACCGTGTTACTTATGACTGTCAAACTTTCAAAAAAGAAACACAGGACTAAAATGCAGCCTGAGTTAGAAAAGCAGTCTAATTGGCTTCTTTTTCTGGAAGTTATACATTTTAGTGTTATATTCATTATCTTTTTTGGCATATTCATTATGGGACTCGGAGCTCCCATGGACATGAAGCCAAATGGTAATCATATTTTCTACATGTCCATCCTATTTATAGTCAATAAACAAAAATTGGTGATAATTATTCTCTAATTTATTATGTAATGTTACATCAAAATTGACAATCTTTTTGCTATTATAAGCATTATTTATTATTGCATCAAAATTGACAAAATGACCTTTTTTGCATCTTTATTTTCTGTTTTTTGTCTGTACATTTGACAGCTTTGCTGCCTTGTTTACCTTTTTATTTTGAATTTCAGATCCCCTTTTCTAAGTTCTTCTTCACAAATTCTGGGATTATAAATGATGTTCAACGTCCACTAGACCTCTCAAGAGTCGCAGTGTGTTCTATAATAATAGCAGATGGTACTGCTGGACCTTTCAGCCTAGAATTGGACTATATTGGAGTGTACTGTGATAAGGAACATAAAGAGGTACATGCTTATGAAATGTACAGAACTTCAATGGGTGACCATAGTTAACTACTGCCATATTTGACTGCTGTGCAGAAAATTGTTTTTGTAGATTCAACCTTCAAGAAATGGACAAAAAAGTGCACATTTACAAATTTGAACTGTTGATACTTTGTATAAGATTATCCATTTTATTTGAAAATATGGTGTTACTCTAGCAAGTCAGAAAAAAAGCAAAAAAATGACACCTGCTTCCAGTTTTATGTCGATTTCTTGAAGAGGGGAGTCTGAGTTGTTTTCAGTGTTTTTTGGAGTGTTTAAGAAGACATGGTCAGAAGAAAAGACATTTACAAGGGGGTTGAACTCCCAAGACAGAAGTCTGTTAAGTTCATTGATTTGACTGATTTAAGTGTGCATTGTAAGGCTCACCAAATCAGTGCATAAGTAAGCTCAGCACCTTTACTTTTAAGTAAAACCTTTAAAACCACACAATGAACTTTGACCTATATTGGAGAAATTCAATTTCCTTAGAGATTCGAATGTTTTCACTTCAATAACCAAGGTATGCTATATCCATAATTGTTTGCAGAATTAGTTTCTGTAAACTTCTTATCCAGTGGCTCCCATAACGGGGACAGAAACTGAACTTTACTTTTGATGGTAAACATTAGTAATTATTACTGGAAAATGGGTTCATAATTTGTCAATTTGTTAACATTCTTGGATAGGATGTAAATTGATGATAAAGGGAAAGTTGCTGGAATTCCAGGAGTCTTATTTTTCATTTCATTTTTAATTTGTGCTGAATTAAGGTGTTAAAAGCACTTAGCATGCTTTAAGTGTCACAAGGATGGAGTTCTCTTGTGAACAAAAATATGGAATAAAATTCTTCATTTCTATTTGCACTTTTACATTATCAATGTGCATATCAAGAACTAGACCTCATCTTCAACCATTGTTTTTTTTTTTGTTTTTTTTTTTTTCTGAAAAAAAATTAATTTCTTCAAAAAGTCAACAGGTATGGTGAAAAATGTTGCAGAACATCAAGCCAACAAACTATATCAGCTATACACCTAATATTTATTGTGAATCGCTGCACATTTTGGACTGCATTAGTAAATAAATATAACCATTCATTCTTAAAACCTTTCCAACCGATATTGTCTTTGTATTTTAATAAACATAAATGAAACTTCAATCATATAGAGATATATTTACACACTTAAATGGTGTGTATGCATCCTCTGAATTTCACACCCAGTGTACGTATGTCATTGGATTTTAATGATTTATGATATCATTACATATGAACATTAAAATTACATGAAGTAAAAACTATACATGGATTGCATAATGACTAGAGATAAACTTTTCTGGACAATCACAGTTTTTTCTTTTTCTTTTTTTGGGAGTTTTTATGGTGATGCTTGGCTGACACCTTTCACAGGATTTCACATAAAATATTAGTACAAACTAGGTAGCAATTTTTAAGCATGCACCTACAGACATGAACACAAAAAGATGATACATAAACTTTACACCAGGTTCTTGAGACATTCCAGATCTTGCATGTATATCATGTTAAAAAACTATTTAATTCTACAAATTTGCTACTGCAAATGATTTTTCATGCATCCAATTATTCCTTGATTCAGAGGCATTTAAAATCATCTGGTCCTAATCTACCATTTTCACATGTACTACCAAAAGCAATTATAGTATAATTATAATATATGAAAACAGGTAATTGAAAAACCCTGGACCCATTTTGAGATACAAATGACCAGCTTCTTCAAGCAAACCGCATTCTAGTATAAAAGCTAATTAAGTCTCGTGGCAAAATGTTCATATTGCAATTGGTCAATGTACTTTTCAAACAAAATATACAATTATGTGACACACACAAACTATTTTGTTCAAAATACACAATTATGTTGTATTCAACTTGTTTTTATCAAAGTCTTTAGGTATTGTTGTTCTTTATCACAGATTATGCCATAGTTTCACCAGCTGCGTGATGCCCATTTATATATTTCTTGACCCTGAACCTTGGCTACACACACACACAAAAAAAATAATAATGATAATAATAAAAAGCTCAATTTAATGGTTTTGGCAGCATTAGTAAAGATAATACTGGAATACCTTAGTTTTGGGTATTAATGATGAAAAAAAAATTCAACAATTCTGTACATTTAAACAAAGCTTGTCAAAATATGAGCACAAACTACTGATGGGAAGATTTTATAAGAGATGTCAGATCTTTATAGTGAAACAGCTGCAAAGATGAGGCACATACCCTTCTGCCCGAAGATTAATAAACACTCGTTGTTAAGGCTTGCATCCTCTTTTGATCAATTCCTCTTGTAAAGACACATGGCATAAAAAATATTCTAGCTGACCATTTCCAAATTCCTCTACAAAGGTTAAACAACTATTTACTAGTTCATTATCTAGATGGAAATTTAGACAGGAAATCAGTAGTCCACGATTTTTTTATACCGTTCATACTTAAAAAGTATGGACATATTGGAGCCAGTAACAGTGCTCTAAAGGAATTCAATTTTTGAGCCATGATTTTTCTAAAAACTTGTTCCATTTCAAAATCTTGTTTTAATTCTTGAATCGCTGTTGCATGTAGTTCTGTTCTCGTATATATCCCAGCTGCTGATAAAAAGGAACCATGTCATCTGAACATTCCAACGACATTTTATAACATCCAACATGTTTTCCAAGAAAAGTCAAAGCTGCTACAAGCCTGGAAGATAAAAGTCTAGAGCTGAAGATATAAGACAGAATAATCTATGTAAGAATTACAGTGTGTAGATTAGTCATCCATTTTTTTTTCAGTTAATACAGTTAATGATTTAGGAAATGAAGAGGCATGTCCAATTTAACATGTAAAACCAATCCAGCTTTAAAATATACTCACACTTTTCCTAATTGTTTTCCTCTATAATCACTGCTAACCACAACATCTTCAACTCTTCCTCTCTGCCAAAAATATACAAGTTAGAGCTTATAGTATTTTTTAGATGCAACTATACAATCAAATGAATATCACGAAAAAAAGATGTAATATGCACCATGCTAATCCTTTTGAATAACTGACTATCTAAGTAACTGCTGTGTTATGATAAAATCTTAGTAACTTCAACTGTCATTAATTAGGAACGGGTAAATCATATCAACATCATAATAATAAATATATAACAGTAATAATAATAAATATATAAGTCAAAGTCATTGTGCTTTTTTCCATTTGTTTTAATTTATCAAAACACTTGTACGCGTAAAATTTGTTACCTTTCCAGTTGCATGGATAAATTTTTCTTCACAAACTAAGGAAGCAGCTCCTATTACAGCATTTGTCTCTTTATCTTCAATCACAGTAACATAGTAAGTGTTCTTGCATGCTTTCATGTTGTTAAACTGATCTACAATGAAAGCAACATAGCAAGAAATTCAAACATTTGGATCAAGTCAGTAGGTTTCTCTAACAGTCAATGGTATGTATATTTTGAAAGTCAACATTAAAAAACATGGGAGGAAGTTGATTTGATAGCTTTGGTGCAAACAAGCGGTACTGAAAACAGACTTTATACCCAAGCAAGTACTCGTAATTTTTAACTGTCTCTCTTCTATAATATTCATTTATATCATTTTGAGTTAAAGTAACTTTTTAACAAACTCCTATTTCTGTAACTGAAAAGTAGATCCAAGACATTTTCTACAGCATTTGTGCAGTTTAAAACATAAATGCAACAAAACTATTATATATTTGTATATACATACCTTCAAACATAGCTCTGGAGACCTCCCCTACAGACGTCAGTTGTGTTAGGAGTTGTAGAAAACCTGAAAAAAAAAACAACAGAAAGCATTGCATTACATCAGTGGGAATTTCAAAGCCTTTAAATTAATTTACTTCCACTGCATTTTCACTGTATTTCAATGGAAAGTTTTATATTTTAGAAATTCATTTCTTGTGCTGCATTTAGAGGTTAATTCTGCAATATAAAATATTTTAAGAGACACATCCGGAATACACACAACTATTCATGAGTAATTAAGATTTAAAAATTTTGTATCTTTAATTCATGAGGGCTTTTGAATAATGTTCCCTTCTTAATGTTATGAAATCCTACCTGTACCTGTGCTGGTCATAATGATAACCCTGTTCAGCCAGCACACAGTACTGTTATTACAGGGAGATAAGCAATACCCATCACAATACTTGGCACTGTACAAGTTGAATGGGGCTCCTTACTTTTAAATTTACAGGTGAAAAGAGACTGTCAGAATTTATACCTTTGAACATCTTTTACATGCACTGTGATCAGAAGGCCTTTTCATACTGAGGGTTATATATCAGCATTCCATCTGCAGTTCTAAGTATGTTTTAAGATACAGACAGCTTAGTAGTCTGGTTCTTTTGTAAGTTTATCACCCAAACCGAACCTTTCAAACTTGCCACTATCCATTAATTTTGGTTGGTACTTGGGCTTCCTAGCAGATGCAAACTTGTGAAAGGGAGAATACCTCCCTCACGCCCTGCAGCTTACTGACAAGGTAATGATGTTTAAAGGCCTATACATTCACCAAGGTTATTGATATGAAACCAAAGTCTTTCCCAGTGATACTAACCTCTGTCAAAATCACCTGAGGACAGTGGCCTCAAAATCAGATTTTCCCCTGGATTTCTGGGTGAGATACCATGTTTAAATTTATTTTCAACTGTTGAAAAGTCTATCTCCTTCAAGAGTTTAGGCTCATACAAGTAAACCTCTTCCATGGCCCCGTTCTGAAAATAAGCAGACATGTAATAAACACTTGCGAATCATACTTAACATGATCATTTCCACCCATTTTCACTGCAGCTGCCATTATGAAATTCATAATATGGTTCTTCTCCAATATTCAAGAATAAACTCACCACCAAGGTATAGCTAAGGAAGTGCTTATGCTGAAGTCCTACAGCTTTTCTGTAATTACTTTGCACAGTATCAGCTGCTTCTGTGAGATGCCACGCCTATTTCGACATCAGTCACCTCTCCAGACATAAAAAGTTCACTGACACCGATACAGAAATAGGTCTTGTTTTCAATCTAGATAGGTTAATACGTATATATTTATATAACCTAACTCAGTATTTTTCATTCAACATGGTGAATGAGACTGCATGCAACTGTACATAAGTGATGCAGTACCAAATACAAAACATAGCTCTGTTCCATATGTGTTGTGACATCGAGTGACATCAGAGATTTATGTTCTGACTTCACATTCTAAGTTATTCACTGCTTCTTTAAAATGCAGCTCTTCATGTTGCATGATAAGAAGCATTAATTTGCAACACACTGGCACTTGTCTTACTTTTTCCCAAACACATATGCATTAATTGTATTAAATATAATATCTTCATATAAACAAAAATAAAAATTGAATGAATGAAAAATATTTATCAAGTATCCACATCTTCTTCTAGTAGTTGAAAATAACTTGATTTATGTAGAATTGGCAAATACAGAAATTACTGAATTAAGGTCAATTCTTAATAAATGGTCAATTAAAAGCCAACAATGAAGTACAGAAAAAAGTCTCTCCCCCCCAATCCAACCACCACCCCTCAATTATAATAAAGGGTAATAAAGTTAGGTAGTTACAGATTGAAAACTCTGGAGGTCTGTATGACTGTGTGTGTCTGTTTTCTGCCATCCCCATTAGCTTTTTTAAAATATTGGAAGCTCTTACATTGCACCCAGACTTGTCGTGAATGATACCGTCTACTTCATATTTCTCAAATTTGTACTATTTGGTGACAGAGTCCATTTTTAAAATAATTTTAAGTGAAGTCTAATTATATTTCGCAATTAAAACAAAATACATCTGAGACGTTGATATTTTATCAACGTTCACATGTTGGCAAAGACACGTGTACGTGGAACAGAATAATAAGATCTACCTATGTATGCTAGTATATGCTACGTCTGCCGCCCCCCCCCCCCCCCTTTAACTCTGCCGCACCCTTCCCCAAGCTCCCTCTCAGATTTGTTGACTAGATACAACATTATCCTACTGAAATCCAACTAGAATGAACTACACTATAATTCGAAGTCATTCACAACTTATTCGTTATTATTGTGTAAAGATATCAGTGATAAAACGCAAAGAATTTAGTCTGTTTTGCCCACTCAAACTCACCTCCATTCGTGCACCGGATATTGTTGTCAGTGTTAATCTTGAAACCCAACAATGTAATTATTTCCATGTAATTATACCAAAAGATATATTTTTAAATACTTGAATGTAACCTTTCTCTTTTTGATAAAGTATTAGATACAATTCCATTAAGAAATTTGACTTTTAAATGTATTTCTATTGGAATATTTACTAAATTCCGATATTTGGATTAGAGAGTAGGTTAATATGGCTGCTCGTGAGTTTCGTTTTGTCGTACGGACACTGTTTAGTTTTTCGAGTCCTTACTGCACCAAACTTTTTGTCCACAGCAATGGAGTAAACACTGGAAAAAGGCATTTATCTACGATAATAAAAATACATGCATGTAGTCAAACATCAAGAATATATCGCAAGTCTGAGAGATACATCAAACATTGGCGTTGTCTAAGTAATGTTTGCAAAATTGATGAAATTTCATTTTACACAAGAAACCCAAAAAATACTCGAACTGAGAGGTTGAACTACGAAAAGAGAAAGTCATTTCCATTATGCAAAATACAAACTCATCCACTGAAGTGCAGTGTGGGAGCATTTCATGAAAGTGCCATCAAAGCTAATGATGCTGAAAAGAAGGGGGAAGAAAATACCAAAAATTCAGTTACAGGAAACAAATTTTATAAAACTGGAGAACAAGACACAGTAGTAAGTATGTATGTCTCTGTATATTTACTACCTTAGTCACTACAGTCTGAAACACTAGATGAGGTGAGGCCTTACCTGCAGTAAGAGTACCTACATAGCATGTACACTGTACTACTGTAGTAAGTCTGAGAACTGATAGGAAACCATTTACTACATGTATTACTGTTTAAGTTGCAGTGACCAACACAAACTTTAGTCCAATTAAGGTCAATCACTAGCATTTCAGTCAACATTTTACTTTATCTGTCATGACTGAAAAGGTATACAGTTTTTGATATGTTTCTTTTTCAGTCTAACACAAAGTTACAATATCACCTCTTTGATTGACTCTACACAGTCCTCACAACCTTATAATATGTAATTATACATGTACATGTAACACAACCATTAGCATGTATTATGGGCCTTGGCATCTTTTTTTAATTACTTCCCCTCTGGCTCTAGCACAGTGTTGTAGAAAAACAAATTTAAGTCTGCTGATATAGCTAGATTACTCAGTAATATGAATCATCTTTTAAACAAGTGTGTCCATTTGCTAAATGTTCTTTTTGGAAAGATTCTTGGGTTGGAGATGAAATCCCTTGTCCTCCATTCTTGGATGTCACTAGCTCGCATTGATCTTGTGTTGAGGGGATTATGTTATTGAGAGTGATCTTCTCTGGAGCAACATTGTTTAGTGGATTGTTAATATTAGTAAGACCGTGGGCATTTATATGAAATTCACATGGACCAGTAGCAGTTATGTAGACGCTATTTGCTTTTGGTTCAGTTAGGCCATTGACATGTTGATAATTTGTTTGGTTTGCACATGGAGAGGCTGTTTTTAAAATGGCAGATGATGCAAGCTGTGATGGAGGCTGTGGGACATTTGAACTGTTCATGACCTTAATTCCTGGATCTGAGGAACCTTCTGGTGATTCTTCTCTCGATGAGGATCTGTGTGTATGATCTGGAGTTGTTGTCTGAGAATTTGGATCACTCTGAGGGAAGCCACTGTCTGTGGTGGTGGTGGGACTGGTTACCGCATCATTATCTTCTCTTTTGCAATATCTTTCTGAATCCTCCAGTGTCCAAGGGGTTGCTGTTTGATTTTTTTCATTTATGGTTGCTACTTGACTTGACTCAGGATCAGCTGAGTGCTTGAGAACCATGTCATCTGGATCCTCCCCTGTTGAAGGTTGAATCTCCTGGTCTGAATGGAGAGAAGGTGGTTGCATAGGATTTATGCTGAGGCGATCCTTGCTGTCCTCCCTTTCATAATTTCTGGTACGAGACTGTCCAGTTGAGGGAGGTGTTTCAGCAGGTGAAAGTTTGGATGTACTCTCTGATTCACTGAGCATTTTTGTATTTTCCTCTGGATCCTGGCTATCCTTTCTCTTAGCTGTATCTGATGCATTGAGCATTTCTACATTTTCCTCAGGATCCTGTCTATTCTTCCTCTTAGCTCTGTCTGTAAAACAGATGTGAGTTGACAGTTGTAAAATATATAAAAAGTGTGACTTTAGAAAACATACATCTTTATCCTTTTATTTGGAAAGTTTTTATGAATAAAACCTTTTTTTAATTGCTGGTATTAAAAGGTATTTTAAAGGTTCATTTTGTTTAAAATTTATTGCATATTGCGAATGTACATTTACACAACTGAAGTTTTTCAAGGGTTTTCAAATCATGATAGACAGGAGACAGTGCTGCATTAAGTTAATATTTTTAACAAATCATGTCTTTACTGTAAAAATCAATATGTTTCTTCTTCCAAATGGTAGATGAAGATAAAAAGATGAAGATGAGATATTGTTTTCCGATAACATGATATACTGTTTCCCTACCTCTGCGGTACCGTTTACATGGCCTTTTTCCTTTTTTGAAGCAGTAGATAAGTACTATAATAAATAATGCAACAGTGATCAGTGAACCAGTGATCACACCTGCCATAACCTCAGGTGCCATTGTGGTACCAACCCCATTGGCCACATCCGTAGCCACAGATGGAATAACCCAAGGTGCCGTTGTGGTACCAGCCCTATTAGCCGTAGCCACAGATGGGATAACCCAAGGTGCCGTTGTGGTACCAGCCCTATTAGCTTGTGCCTGAATGTAACCTGTAAAAGTAAAAAAAAAATTGACTGTAAATGAACTGTCATCTGTTATGTGCTATTGTAATATAAAGTGTATGAAGGAGAGGAGAGAATGAGCTCGTTGTTTACGGCTAGGATTCAAATTGGTTTTGGGTTGAAACCATGAAATATTGCTTTCTAAAAAAGTTTTTTTTTTTTTTTGAGAAATTGGTTTTATTTCTCTGTTGTGTAGTAATGGTAAAAAAAAAGAAATTTTCTGAGAAATACTTAACATTTTAAAACATATGAGAGATATGAAATTTGTCTGACTTTTTATTTTACTTTATTATTTTATTTTTGAGTTAATTAAGTATTTTAAAAATTACTCACCAGGGCACACTCTTTCACATTCTCTCTGCATGGCATTGGTGTTGACATTGCAAATGGTACTACAATCAGCACAACGTCCAAGTCCAGCGATATCACAGTATTGGTCCTTACTGCACTCTTCGTTCTTTCTGTGAAATATAATAATATTCAAGGGTTTGTAAAATCTTGAACATTTAAGTCATTCCAACTACATATTTCAGTGTCACTGACTAAAAAGATAGCATACATCCAGCCTTTTTGTCATGTGTAAGATATCCTCGGCATTATGTTCCAATTTGGTCATTGAGTTTGTATAGTGACATTTATTGCTGAAACGTACATTAAAAAGAGGTCAACTTACCGGCATGCAGCTGCGAAGATTGTCTGTATCAAATTGGAAAAGAACAGCACAAATAACTTGATTTTGTAGTTGTTCATGATGGATTTTGCCTAATAATGTGATCCACCTGAGGTACTAGTATGCTACAGTGTACCTGTGATTTCAAGGTTACTTGGAAAAAATCCCGTTTTATTTACAGTTACAAGATTTCCCATGACTAATTCAGGTGGGTGTTAATTAAGTCAGATCTATTTATATCTCAAGATATGAGTTAGTATACATGTACCTGTGCGACCTGTAGTAAGAATTGCATCATTTTTGTTGTGTTAATTTAGATACATCACTAACATTATTATTTTAGAGATTTGTTTTCTTTGTATTTTATTGAATACAGTGTGTACATGTAACAGGCAGCATATGTAGTACATGTGTGTTTATGTACCTACGGGAAGTAGGTCACGGCAGTGGATGTTTTAAACCTCTGCTTCTGTCTAGTTTTTGTTCAGTAGCCTGAACCCTAGGTCTCATATTTTAAAATGGGACCAACACCTTATGACTTATCAACAATTTACTAGTATTCTTATACTTTTCTCCTCCAGGCCCATCTTGAACAGGCCCGTAGCCAGCAACTTCAAAAGGGGGTTCTTTTTCTGAAAAAGTGGACCTTTTTCTCTAAAAACTTCATGAACCTAGATCAAATTTTACCCAGAGTGGACATTTTCCCACCAAAAGGGGCGGTTCTCTCGAAACCCCCACCCCCCCACCCCCACCCCCGGCTACGGGCCTGACTGAACTTATCCCTATAGGTAAAATGGATTTTGTTGAATCTTCCTTTGTCAACTAACCAACACTTTATCTGACTTGTCAACAGTTTATTTTATTATTTTTTATTCTTTTTTCTACAGATTCATTTAATATTTCATCTTAAACAGGTAGCTATTAATACAGCTAAATATGGATGATAATTAATTATTTATTTAAAATTCATTTTCTCTTAATAGCTTTTGGCTTAAGGCTTGCACCCCTGATTGTGTTTGGTNCAAATGTTTTCACTTCAATAACCAAGGTATGCTATATCCATAATTGTTTGCAGAATTAGTTTCTGTAAACTTCTTATCCAGTGGCTCCCATAACGGGGACAGAAACTGAACTTTACTTTTGATGGTAAACATTAGTAATTATTACTGGAAAATGGGTTCATAATTTGTCAATTTGTTAACATTCTTGGATAGGATGTAAATTGATGATAAAGGGAAAGTTGCTGGAATTCCAGGAGTCTTACTTTTCATTTCATTTTTAATTTGTGCTGAATAAAGGTCTTAAAAGCACTTAGCATGCTTTAAGTGTCACAAGGATGGAGGAGTTCTCTTGTGAACAAAAATATGGAATAAAATTCTTCATTTCTATTTGCACTTTTACATTATCAATGTGCATATCAAGAACTAGACCTCATCTTCAACCATTGTTTTTTTTGGGTTTTTTTTTTCTGAAAAAAAATTAATTTCTTCAAAAAGTCAACAGGTATGGTGAAAATTGTTGCAGAACATCAAGCCAACAAACTATATCAGCTATACACCTGATATTTATTGTGAATCGCTGCACATTTTGGACTGCATTAGTAAATAAATATAACCATTCATTCTTAAAACCTTTCCAACCGATATTGTCTTTGTATTTTAATAAACATAAATGAAACTTCAATCATATAGAGATATATTTACACACTTAAATGGTGTGTATGCATCCTCTGAATTTCACACCCAGTGTACGTATGTCATTGGATTTTAATGATTTATGATATCATTACATATGAACATTAAAATTACATGAAGTAAAAACTATACATGGATTGCATAATGACTAGAGATAAACTTTTCAGGACAATCACAGTTTTTTTTTTTCTTTTTTGGGAGTTTTTTTATGGTGAGGCTTGGCAGACACACCTTTCACAGGATTTCACATAAAATATTAGTACAAACTAGGTAGCAATTTTTAAGCATGCACCTACAGACATGAACACAAAAAGATGATACATAAACTTTACACCAGGTTCTTGAGACATTCCAGATCTTGCATGTGTATCATGTTAAAAAACTATTTAATTCTACAAATTTGCTACTGCGAATGATTTTTCATGCATCCAATTATTCCTTGATTCAGGGGCATTTAAAATCATCTGGTCCTAATGGACCATTTTCACATGTACTACCAAAAGCAATTATAGTATAATATATGAAAACAGGTAATTGAAAAACCCTGGACCCATTTTGAGATACAAATGCCCAGCTTCTTCAAGCAAACCGCATTCTAGTATAAAAGCTAATTAAGTCTCATGGCAAAATGTTCATATTGCAATTGGTCAATGTACTTTTCAAACAAAATATACAATTATGTGACACACACAAACTTTTTTGTTCAAAATACACAATCATGTTGTACTTCAACTTGTTTTTATCAAAGTCTATAGGTATTTTTGTTCTTTATCACAGATTATGCCATAGTTTCACCAGCTGCGTGATGCCCATTTATATATTTCTTGACCCTGAACCTTGGCTACACACACACAAAAAAATAATAATGATAATAATAAAAAGCTCGATTTAATGGTTTTGGCAGCATTAGTAAAGATAATACTGGAATGCCTTAGTTTTGGGTATTAATGATGAAAAAAAAAATTCAACAATTCTGTACATTTAAACAAAGCATGTCAAAATATGAGCACAAACTACTGATGGGAAGATTTTATAAGAGATGTCAGATCTTTATAGTGAAGCAGCTGCAAAGATGAGGCACATACCCTTCTGCCCGAAGATTAATAAACACTCGTTGTTAAGGCTTGCATCGTCTTTTGATCAATTCCTCTTGTAAAGACACATGGCATATAAAATATTCTAGCTGACCATTTCCAAATTCCTCTACAAAGGTTAAACAACTATTTACTAGTTCATTATCTAGATGGAAATTTAGACAGGAAATCAGTAGTCCATGATTTTTTTAATACCGTTCATACTTAAAAAGTATGGGACATATTGGAGCCAGTAACAGTGCTCTAAAGGAATTCAATTTTTGAGCCATGATTTTTCTAAAAACTTGTTCCATTTCAAAATCTTGTTTTAATTCTTGAATCGCTGTTGCATGTAGTTCTGTTCTCGTATATATCCCAGCTGCTGATAAAAAGGAACCATGTCGTCTGAACATTCCAGCGACATTTTATAACATCCAACATGTTTTCCAAGAAAAGTCAAAGCTGCTACAAGCCTGGAAGATAAAAGTCTAGAGCTGAAGATATAAGACAGAATAATATATGTGAGATAATATATGACTATGTGTAGATTAGTAATAAGGGTTGTTTTACATAATGATAATAAATGATAAATTATACCCTCTACCAGGGGGGCAGATATTGTAGGCACATTTTCCACAGTTAGGAGATTGACGACATTTAGCCACAGACATTATCTGTGAATACCTACTGAAAAATCAATGAGGGTAGAGGGTATTTAATGATTAAGGAGATGAAGAGGCATGTCCAATTTAACATCTAAAACAAACCCAGCTTTAAAATATACTCACACTTTTCCTAATTGTTTTCCTCTGTAATCACTGCTAACTACAACATCTTCAACTCTTCCTCTCTGCCAAAAATATACAAGTTAGAACTTATAGTATTTTTAGATACAACTATACAATCAAATGAATATCACGAAAAAAAAAAAAAAAAGTAATATGCACCATGCTAATCCTTTTGAATAACTGACTATCTAAGTAACTGCTGTGTTATGATAAAATCTTAGTAACCTCAACTGTCATTAGTTAGGAACTGGTAAATCATTTCAACATCATAATAATATATAACAGTAATAATAATAAATATATAAGTCAAAGTCATTGTGCTTTTTTTCCAATTGTTTTAATTTATCAAAACACTTGTACGCGTAAAATTTGTTACCTTTCCAGTTGCATGGATAAATTTTTCTTCACAAACTAAGGAAGCAGCTCCTATTACAGCATTTGTCTCTTTATCTTCAATCACAGTAACATAGTAAGTGTTCTTGCATGCTTTCATGTTGTTAAACTGATCTACAATGAAAGCAACTTAGCAAGAAATTCAAACATTTATAAGTCATTGGATCAAGTCAGTAGGTTTCTCTAACAGTCAATGGTATGTATATTTTAGTCAACATTAAAAAACATGGGAGGAAGTTGATTTGATAGCTTTGGTGGAAACAAACGGTACTGAAAACAGACTTTATACCCAAGCAAGTACTCGTAATTTTTAACTGTCTCTCTTCTATAATATTCATTTATATCATTTTGAGTTAAAGTAACTTTTTAACAAACTCCTATTTCTGTAACTGAAAAGTAGATCCAAGACATTTTCTACAGCATTTGTGCAGTTTAAAACATAAATGCAACAAAACTATTATATATTTGTATATACATACCTTCAAACATAGCTCTGGAGACCTCCCCTACAGACGTCAGTTGTGTTAGGAGTTGTAGAAAACCTGAAAAAAAACACAACAGAAAGCATTGCATTACGTCAGTGGGAATTTCAAAGCCTTTTAATTAATTTACTTCCACTTCATTTTCACTGTATTTCAATGGAAAGTTTTATATTTTAGAAATTCATTTCTTGTGCCGCATTTAGAGATTAATTCTGCAATATGAAATATTTTAAGACACACATTCAGAATACACACAACTATGAGTAATTAAGATTTAAATTTTTTGTATCTTTAATTCATGAGGGCTTTTGAATAATGTTCCCTTCTTAATGTTATGAAATCCTACCTGTACCTGTGCTGGTCATAATGATAACCCTGTTCAGCCAGCACACAGTACTGTTATTACAGGTAAGCAATACCCATCACAATACTTGGCACTGTACAAGTTGAATGAGGCTTCTTACTTTTAAAATTACTGGTGAAGAGAGACTGACATAATGAAATGTATGCCTTTGAACATCTTTTACATGCACTGTGATCAGAAGGCCTTTTCGTAATGAGGGTTATATATCAGCATTTCATCTGTAGAGGTACATTTTGAGACACTGACAGCTTAGTAGTCTGGTTCTTTTGTAAGAGTATCACCTAAACGAAACCTTTCAAACTATACCTCCCTCACGCCCTGCAGCTTACTGACAAGGCAATGATGTTTAAGGGCCTATACATTCAAGGTTATTGATATGAAACCAAAGTCTTTCCCAGTGATACTTACCTCTGTCAAAATCACCTGAGGACAGTGGCCTCAAAATCAGATTTTCCCCTGGATTTCTGGGTGAGATACCATGTTTAAATTTATTTTCAACTGTTGAAAAGTCTATCTCCTTCAAGAGTTTAGGCTCATACAAGTAAACCTCTTCCATGGCCCCGTTCTGAAAATAAGCAGACATGTAATAAACACTTGCGAATCATACCTAACATGATCATTTCCACCCATTTTCACTGCAGCTGCCATTATGAAATTCATAATATGGTTCTTCTCCAATATTCAAGAATAAACTCACCACCAAGGTATAGCTAAGGAAGTGCTTATGCTGAAGTCCTACAGCTTTTCTGTAATTACTTTGCACAGTATCAGCTGCTTCTGTAAGATGCCACGCCTATTTCGACATCTGTCACCTCTCCAGACATATAAAGTTCACTGACACCGAAACAGAAATAGGTCTTGTTTTCAATCTAGATAGGTTAAATATATTTATATAACCTAACTCAGTATTTTTCATTCAACATGGTGAATGAGACTGCATGCAACTGTACATAAGTGATGCAGTACCAAATACAAAACATAGCTCTGTTCCATATGTGTTGTGACATCGAGTGACATTAGAGATTTATGTTCTGACTTCACATTTTAAGTTATTCACTGCTTCTTTAAAATGCAGCTCTTCATGTTGCATGATAAGAAGCATTTATTTGCAACACACTGGCACTTGTCTTACTTTTTCTCAAACATATGCATTAATTGTATTAAATATAAAATCTTCATATAAATAAAAATAAAAATTGAATGAATGTAAAATATTTATCAAGTATACACATCTTCTTCTAGTAGCTGAAAATAACTTGATTTATGTAGAATTGGCAAATACAGAAATTACTGAATTAAGGAAAATTCTTAATAAATGGTCAATTAAAAGCCAACATTGAAGTACAGAAAAAAGTCTCTCCCCCCCAATCCAACCACCACCCCTCAATTATAATAAAGGGTAATAAAGTTAGGTAGTTACAGATTGGAAACTCTGGAGGTCTGTATGACTGTGTGTCTGTTTTCTGCCATCCCCATTAGCTTTTTAAAAATATTGGAAGCTCTTATGCACCCAGACTTGTCGTGAATGATACCGTCTACTTCATATTTCTCAAATTTGTACTTCAATATAATTATTTGGTGACAGAGTCCATTTTTAAAATAATTTAATTTAAGTGAAGTCTAATTATATTTCGCAATTATAACAAAATACATCTGAGACGTTGATATTTTGTCAACGTTCACATGTTGGCAAAGACACGTGTACGTGGAACAGAATAATAAGATCTACTAATGTATGCTAGTACAGTATGCTACGTCTGCGCCCCCCCCCCCCCTTTTAGCTCTGCCGCACCCTCTCAGAGGGTAAAGAAGATTTGTTGACTAGACAAAACATTATCCTACTGAAATCCAACTACAATGAACTACACTATAAATCGAAGTCATTCACAACTTATTCGTTATTACTGTGTAAAAATATCAGTGATAAAACGCAAAGAATTTCGCCTGGGATGCCCACTCAAACTCACCTCCATCGTTCACCGGATATTGTTGTCAGTGTTAATCTTGAAACCCAACAATGGAATTATTTCCATGTGATTATATCAAAAGATATATTTTCAAATACTTGAATGTAACTTTTCTCTTTTTAATAAAGCATTAGATACAATTTCATTAAGAAATTTGACTTTTAAATGTATTTCTATTGGAATATTTACTAAATTCCGATATTTGGATTAGAGAGTAGTTTAGTACTATGGCTGCAGTTTGTGAGTTTCGTTTTGTCGCACGGACACTGTTTAGTTTTTCGAGTCCTTACTGCACCAAACGTTTTGTCCACAGCAGTGGAGTAAACACTGGGAAAAGGCATTTATCTACGATAATAAAAATACATGCATTTAGTCAAACATCAAGAATATATCGCAAGTCTGAGCGATGCATCAAACATTGGCGTTGTCTAAGTAATGTTTGCAAAATTGATAAAATTTCATTTTACACAAGAAGCCCAAAAAATACTCGAACTGAGAGGTTGAACTACGAAAGGAGAAAGTCATTTCCATTATGCAGAATACAAACTCATCCACTGAAGTGCAGTGTGGGAGCATTTCATGAAAGTGCCATCAAAACTAATGATGCTGAAAAGAAGGGGGAAGAAAATACCAAAAATTCAGTTTCAGGGAAAAACATTAATAAAAGCGAAGAACAAGACACTAAAGTAAGTATACACATCTCTGTATATTCTCCAGCTTAGTCACTACAGTCTGAAACACCAGACACAGCCTTACCTGCAGTAAGGGTACCTAACTTGCCGGTACACAAGACTGCGAACTGAGGCAAGAAAACCATTTACAATGTACTGAGTACATGTACTAGTACTGGCAAAGTTGCAGTGTCCGATACAAACAGACCGAAACATCAGTCCAATTAAGGTCAGTCACTAGTGTTTTAGTCAACATTTTACTTTATCTAAAATGGCTGAAAAAGTATACAGTTTTCTATAAGTTTTTTTTTTTTTCAATCTAGCTAACACAAAGTTACTGTACAATATCACCCGTTTGATTGGCTCTACAAAGTCCTCACAACCTTCTGTTTATTACACATGTACATGTAACATCATCGTTAGCATATGTATTATGGGCCTCGGCACCTTCTTTGAATGGTTTCCCCTCTGGCTCTAGCACAGTGTTGTAGAATAACATTAATTTAAACCAACTGATATACATGTAGCTAGATTAATATGAGCCATCCTTTAACAAGTGTGTCCATTTGCCAATTGTGCTTTTTTAAAAGTTTCTTGGGTTGGGGATGAAATCCCTTGTCCTCCATTCTTGGATGTCACAAGCTCACATTTATCTTGTGTTGAGGGGTTAATATTATGGGGAGAATTCTTCTCTTGAGTATCATTGTTTAGTGGATTGTTATTATTAGTAAGAGGGGGGGCATGTATATGAATATCAATAACTGAACCATTAGCAGTAAAATGGAAGCTATTTGGTTTTGGTTCAGTTAGGCCATTGACATGTCGATAATTTGTTTGGTTTGCACATGGAGAGGCTGTTTTTAAAATGGCAGATGATGGAGGCTGTGGGACATTTGAACTGTTCATGACCTTAATTCCTGGATCTGAGGAACCTTCTGGTGATTCTTCTCTTGATGAGGATCTGTGTGTATGATCTGGAGTTGTTGTCTGAGAATTTGGATCACTCTGAGGGAAGCCACTGTCTGTGGTGGTGGTGGTGGGACTGGTTACCACATCATTATCTTCTCTTTTGCGATATCTTTCTGAATCCTCCAGTGTCCAAGGGGTTGCTGTTTGATTTTTTTCATTTATGGTTGCTACTTGACTTGACTCAGGATCAGCTGAGTGCTTGAGAACCATGTCATCTGGATCCTCCCCTGTTGAAGGTTGAATCTCCTGGTCTGAATGGAGAGAAGAGGGTCGCATAGGATTTATGCTGAGGCGATCCTTGCTGTCCTCCCTTTCATAATTTCTGGTACGAGACTGTCCAGTTGAGGGAGGTGTTTCAGCAGGTGAAAGTTTGGACGTACTCTCTGATTCATTGAGCATTTTTGTATTTTCCTCTGGATCCTGGCTATCCTTTCTCTTAGCTGTATCTGATGCATTGAGCATTTCTACGTTTTCCTCAGGATCCTGGCTATTCTTCCTCTTAGCTCTGTCTGTAAAACAGATGTGAGTTGACAGTTGTAAAATATATAAAAAGTGTGACTTTAGAAAACATATATCATTATCCTTTTATTTGGAAAGTTTTTATGAATAAAACCTTTTTTCAATTGCTGGTATTAAAAGGTATTTTAGAGGTTCATTTTGTTTAAAATTTATTGCATATTGCGAATGTACATTTACACAACTGAAGTATTTCAAGGGTTTTCAAATCATGATAGACAGGAGACAGTGCTGCATTAAGTAAATATTTTTAACAAATCATGTTTTTACTGTAAAAATCAATATGTTTCTTCTTCCAAATGATAGATGAAGATAAAAAGATGAAGATGAGATATTGTTTTCCGATAACATGATATACTAGTACTGTTTCCCTACCTCTGCGGTACCGTTTACATGGCCTTTTTCCTTTTTTGAGGCAGTAGATAAGTACCCCAACAGCAATAAATAATGCAGCAACAGCGATCAGTGCACCAGTGATCACACCTGCCATAACCTCAGGTGCCATTGTGGTACCAACCCCATTGGCTACATCCGTAGCCACAGATGGGATAACCCAAGGTGCCGTTGTGGTACCAGCCCTATTAGCTGTAGCCACAGATGGGATAACCCAAGGTGCCGTTGTGGTACCAGCCCTATTAGCTTGAGCCTGAATGTAACCTGTAGAAGTAAAAAAACATGGCTGTAAATGAACTGTCATCTGTTATGTGCTATTGTAATATAAAGTGTATGAAGGAGAGAATGAGCTCATTGTTTACTGCTAGGATTCAAATTGGCTTTGGGTTGAAACCATGAAATATTGCTTTCTAAAAAAGTTTTTTTTTTTTTTTTTTTTTTTTTTTTGAGAAATTGGTTTTATTTTCTGTTGTGTGGTAATGGTAAAAGAAGAAAATTTCTGGGAAATACTTAACATGTTTTAAACCTATGAGAGACATTCCATTTGACCTGACTTTTTATTTTATTTTTGAGTTAAGTATTCTAAAAATTACCCACCGGGACACACTCTTTCACATTCTTTCTGCATGGCATTGGTGTTGACATTGCAAATGGTACTACAATCAGCACAACGTCCAAGTCCAGTGATATCACAGTATTGCTCCTTACTGCACTCTTCGTTCTTTCTGTGAAATATAATAATATTCAAGGGTTTGTAAAATCTTGAACATTTAAGTCATTCCAACTACATATTTCAGTGTCACTGACTAAAAAGATAGCATACATCCAGCCTTTTTGTCATGTGTAAGATATCCTCGGCATTATGTTCCAAATTGGTCATTGAGTTTGTATAGTGACATTTATTGCTGAAACGTACATTAAAAAGAGGTCAACTTACCGGCATGCAGCTGCGAAGATTGTCTGTATCAAATTGGAAAAGAACAGCACAAATAACTTGATTTTGTAGTTGTTCATGATGGATTTTTGCCTAATGTGATCCACTTGAGGTACTAGTATGCTACAGTGTACCTGTGATTTCAAGTTTACTTGGAAAAAATCCCGTTTTATTTACAGTTACAAGATTTCCCATGACTAATTCAGGTGGGTGTTAATTAAGTCACATCTATTTATATCTCAAGATCTGAGTTAGTATACATGTACCTGTGCGACCTGTAGTAAGAATTGCATCATTTTTGTTGTATTAATTTAGATACATAACTAACATTATTATTTAAGAGATTTGTTTTCTTCGTATTTTATTGAATGCAGTGTGTACATGTAACAGGCAGCATATGTAGTACATGTGTGTTTATGTACATTATCATAGGGAAAGTAGGTCACGGCGGTGGATGTTTTAAACCTAAGTTAGCCCCTCTGCTTCTGTCAAGTTTTTGTTCAGTACTACGAACCCTAGGTCTCGTATTTTAAAATGGGACCAACACCTTATGACTTACCAACAATTTACTAGTATTCTTATATTTTCTCCTCCCATCTTGAACTTATCCCTATTATAGGTAAAATCAAGTTTGTTTACCTTCAGTTATTCCTTTGTCAACTAACCAACACTTTATCTGACTTATCAACAATTTATTTTGATACTTTTTGTTCTTTTTTCTACAGCTTCATTTAATATTTCATCTTAAACAGGTAGCTATTAATACAGCTAAATATGGATGATAATTAGTTATTTATTTTAAATTTATTTTCTCTTAATAGCTTTTGGTTTAAAGCTTGCACCCCTAATTGTGTTTGGTGCATGTACATGTATTGTATGATCTAATCACCCACAAACAAGCTTCCCTTTCCCTGAAGACTCGGTCTACAGTTGTTTTTATTCAATTTTTTGACCACTTCATGTCAGTGATGCTCCACATGGATATATATTTCAATTATTTCAATTTATAGTTGCTATATGAAAGGAGAGGAAGAAATTATTTGCTCGGTACAATAATTGGTTGTTGTTGGTGGCGAGAGCGGGAGTCGCTCTGTGTTGCTTGATAAAATACTGAGATAAATACTTGAGCACGGTTAGCAATTATTGAAGGTGGGGTTAATAAAGAAAAATAGGAATATGGGTGGTTACACTGTGTATTGCCAATGAGATGGTCTAGCTTGGAGATGGGGGAAGGTAAATTGCTACGTGAATGTAGGGTATATATCAGTTATAAAACTTTAAAGGAATACAAGCTGTATGATGTTGCTTTCTTGTGTACCTAAGTTTGAAAATAAAGTTTGTTACCTTCTGCTGGTCTTGTGTTATCTTGAGGCGATATTCTTGTGATCTGTATGTGACTCGATCTGCAGTCTGGTTGCTCAGGATGATCTGATGCTGGGCGCATTTGGTGGACGCGTTGTAATTAAGAATTAAGGAGTTGACCTGCGACTGGGCATACAGTAATACCCTGAGTGGTGTAATGAATGCATGCGGCTAGCTGAGTGGTGACAGTATGTTAAACAACCACGTGTGTGACACCCCAAGCACGGGAGACTCCCAAAGTATATTGCACTATAAATGAAATTATAGTCTTCTCAAATAATTTAGTATTTATTTTTTTAAATTTCATTTTAATGTATATATTTCAATTTATTTTTTAAATTTTACTTAAATGGATATATTTCAATTTATTATTTTTAATTTTAGTTAAATTTATTTTATATATTGTATTTATTTTCAGAAAGAAAACATACTGACAGTGCCCAATGCCCTTACAGTATCCAGGATAGTACTGTCTCCATTCCTTGGCTACCTGGTGCTGCATGAGAGCTACACCTGGGCCTTGGGATTGTTTGTTTATGCTGGAACAACTGATTGGGTATGTGCCTTTTGGACCATTCCCATAACCTTATTGTACTAGCAGGATCAATCTATCTCCGAGGGGATTCTCACTAAATCGCATTCAGTTTTAGCATGCACGGAAATTAATTACCCCCTAGCAGCTTCAGTGGGTATGACAGAAATTTAAGCTGCTTAAACTGATTGCAATTTAGCAAGATTCCCCTGGAGTTAGATTAATCTTGCTAGCACTATAGGTTTATGGGAACCCAGTCTTTGTAACCTTTTTCATTTACAATACAATTTCTTTAATTACTTGTTTCTTGAACAAATCTCATTTTTCGACATAAGGTTGAGGAAGGGGATGAAATTAATTTTTATTAATGTAATATTTTTGTCACAATTTTTAATTACTTTAGACAATAGTTGAGACTTAAATATAAACACACTTCAACCATTTTTTAAAAGTAAAAGCAGAGACTCCCTAATCAGTGAACTGTTTTATTTGTCTAAATTACACGATGACATTGTTGTCAGTTTTAGGCTCTGTTCACATGAAAAATCTATTTTCTAAAAATCTATTTGCGGTATCTTGTGATCACGGTCTGTGCCCTGAATACCCCACGGCGTAATTATGGGCAGCGCGAGCCAGTTACTTCCAAAGCTGTAATTAATTCTCGGCCCTGCCATCAACAGTGTCTTGTTTTTACTTGCACTACATGAATGTATTACTGAGAAATTTTGAAAAAGTCATCAACAATGTAAAAATCTGTAAGATTGATTATTGCCTTTTTTGCATTTTTTTCTTTCCATTATTTGATTTGAAAATGTGGTCATTCATGTTATTCCATAACCAGTGCGCTGGTTCTAGGCATTAAGATTCTTGTTTTTCTTCTAGTAAGTGTTAATTACTGTTTCACTCTAATAGCAGTTATTCAAAAGTGAAATAAGATGGCAGCTTATTCTGACAGTTCTTAAAGGTTTTTTTTTTAATATCACACAAGCAAACATAATTGAAAAAGTATATAAGGAATTGCATTGTCAGTCCATTCCTCCATTAGACACGAACCTTATCTTGATATACTTTAGTTGAACATGTAATTCTTTCAGCCTTGTTATTTTCATTTCTATGAACACATTTTCCTTTCATTTGAATAGAGCAAGCTTTTAAGACCAGTTGACATTCCCACATATTTATTTATTTATTTATTTTCACAGATAGATGGCTACATTGCCAGGAAATTCCCCAGCCAGAGGTCAGCTCTCGGAAGCCTGATTGATCCACTGGGGGACAAGATTTTGATGACCATTCTCACTGTCACACTGACCCAAGTGGACTTGCTGCCATGTATGTATTCATTTATAAAGCTCTTCCATCCACAACAGGCCAATGTAAGCACCAATTTTTGTGTTGCAGTAGTACAGTAATCAATAAAAGTGATAAATAAGTTCTTTCAAACACTCTCCATCTCAGTGCTGTGTACAATAATAATGATAATATTAATAATAATAATGATAATAATACATGGCATCTGAAATTATTTGTTATTGGAAGAATCAGTCATTGAATTTGAACAAAATTAATCAACTGTTCACAGAGGAAAAATAAAAAGGACCCATGTGAATTATTTATGTAACATATTGTGGATGACTCCAAATGAGCTGATGTTAATCTGTAGCACATAGAACAATAAGATTAACTCTGTATGAGTTAATATGTACTTTTGCTCAGTTTATTTGTAATATCTGCAAGGGATTAATTTAAAAGTTCTGAAAAGTGATCAGTGTTCGTGATTTACTTAAAGTTAACTTTTGGAAAAGTGAGACTTGTGAAATATGTAATTTATTTTCATCTGTCATTATTGTAATATGAGAATGGTGAGAAGAAAGATAAATGTATAAATATATATTATTTTTTCCTCTAGTCCCCCTTGCTGCTTTGATCATTGGCAGAGATGTAGCTTTGCTGACAGGGGGAATCTATATCAGATACAGAATGTTGCCCCCTCCAGTAAGTATAGAAGTATGTTAACTGGTAAAAATCTACATGCTACAGTCAATTTACTCGCTAGGATGAACTCCTTGTTTGATGAAAGTGGTGTTATGGTACATTAAATAATTTGTTTTAAGAATCAGTTAAACTTCAGGCTTTTTTGAAATTCTTCAAAACAATAAAAGTAGTCAGTGCACATTTTATATTTAGATCACATCTGAGGCATTTTTTGATGTTTGAATCTTTTTCAGAAAACCCTTTCCAGAATATTCAATCCTTCATTATCATCACACAATGTGAACCCAACTGCGTTAAGCAAAGTAAGTATGAATTTTTTGTAACAACTTTTTGATTTTATCTTTATCAGTTTACCAAATAGTTAAGCAAAATAACAGAAAACTAGAAAAGCATTCCTAGAGCGCAGACCTCTGCCAAGACAGTGATTTTTGATAATTGATTGATTATTGATCCATTTCACCACCAAAAACTAATAAACTCTTTCTTGGCCCACTTCTGACAGTTCCTGAAAATTTCATCAAAATCGGTCCATAACTTTTTGAGTTATGTTGATGACAAACAAACAGACAGACAAACAGGGGTGAAAACATTACCTTTTTGGCAGAGGTAAAAAGAATAGTTCATCATGAAACATTTATTTTTGGATATACAAACCAAGTTTTCATGATGTGTAAATACTGTTTGTTTCAGTTTAATACATTTTGCCAGATCTCATTGATTGCTGGTACCCTTGGAGCTCCAATTTTTAACTATGTGGATCATACAGTATTGCATGGGATGTGGTAGGTTTTAATATTTTATTAATTTATTTATTATTGGAAATAAACTATAGTCAGAAGTTACAGAAATGTTCCTTTTTATACAGTGACTGTCATACAATTTCTAAAGTATTCAACTGCAGTGTCTTATGACTGTCTTGCTACCAGGTTCCTATTATGAATTCACTAGTAGATAAATATTTTTTAATGTTTTTAAGAGTTTTTCTGAGAAAAAAAAGATTGTGAAAATCATGAAAAATATGAGTTTTTCTTGTTTCATTATTATATAGGTATGTGACTGGGGCAACCACTTTGCTGTCTGGACTGAGCTATGTTTTTAGCAAGGACACTTATTCTTCAATTCAAAATAAAAACTCTACCAAAGAAAGGTAGCACAGTGGACAAAATTGAATGAACTTGACACCTCTTCAAGACACACTTAAAGGGATAATAACTCTTTGTATGAGATCTCAATTTCATGATAAAAACATTGTGAACAACTCATAGATAATATATTCTGTTGTAACACAAAAACGGCAGTTATAGCTATTATTCTGATATTTGAGCTTGTCTTTAGACCAGGTGACCGCCATTGATGGCTATACTCTGTTATAATCTCTTAAGAGAATATAAATAAAAAAACAAACTTTTTAGAAAAAAAAACAGGACTACCTTTGAATGTAAAGATGGATTTATCAACCATTGGTAGTATGGGAAAATTGTTGTTTACTCCAGGAAAATTCATTTTTTGGCCAAAAGGAAGAGTTATTATCCCTTTAACTGTGGTGATTATTTACCTCGTCAAATATTGTGGTGTATGTATGGTTCTCATGGCACTGTAGTAAACAGATCCAAACAGAAGAAGAAATGTTGCTGTTATTAAGAGTATTGTCAGTAAATATTATTACTTTGTATTTTTGCAATCATAACATAGCAGTAAGCCTCTGATATACCAATCACTGTTTTTCCTATTTAGAATGTATTCTTAAAGGTAACCAACTGTTCAGCAGATTTAAATGTTGGTTAAGCCTAAACTGCATACTTTTAGTTTGAATTTACTAGATTGAATAAGCATATGTTTAGCAGCATGTTAAAAAAAAATGGCCCATGTTGACTTTAACATTGCTATGTTTTATGAAAATAAGTAAATTCTTGTAATTGAGAAAAACAACCGAATAAAAGCACAATTTATGGCGACAATCTGTCAGCTTTTAAGAGGTTGCCTACATATTGCACTTTATATTCTGTCTTAACCCACGTCTTAAAACTGATGTCTTTAATATTATCATAAACAATTTGAAATTGTTATCATGGCGCCTCTACGGAGTGTCTTCATGTTATTGTGGGACTGATAATCATTATTCCAATTTGTGGTCACTTCGTGTTTTATGGAGACATTTTATGGAGAAAAACCTTGATAAGTGATTACAGAATCACTCTGACCAGTTACTAGTGATGAATAAAACATGATTATACATTATTTATAGTTTTAATTTTTCTGAATCTCTTGGTCATCATCTCTTCTAGGTTAGTTTATCAGAAAAGGGTTTCAAACTGGAACTCCGTTGGTTCTTTATTCAGCAAAATTGTGAAATTGGGATTTTGTCTCATGATTTTCTGGCCACATTAGAAGAGAATATAGAATAAAGTTTGAAGCAACTTCGTTCTTCACACGTCCCAAGATTACGTTTTAGATAGATGTAGATTGAAGATAGTTGACGGATCACAATGGAAGAATAAAAATAAATTAAAAATTTTGAAAACCTCTGACAAATAGCAATCTAATATTTAAATAAATATTTCGATATCTATTTTTATTTTAAACATTACTCTTTTTACTTTGCCAAATTGTTTAAATGCTGTTTTACATTTATAAATATTCTCTTATTTAACATAATATCACATCACACTCAGCCGCACATTAGTTTTTTTTTTAATTATTTTTTTTTTTCTGTACCACTGATTTCCAACTACTGGACAAGACGATCTCGTTGCGCCACACCCAAACAGAGAGCGCTCCCTATTGGAGAAAGCTTGAGTTGATTGTTATTATGCAAATAAGGTCAGGTAGGTGACCAATTAGTGAGCGGTGCTCAGGTAGGACCAGCTAAACAAGGCGGAGGTTCAAGGCGGAGACGTTGATGGTACCAAGGTTTTTTATTTGTGCCAGCAATAGTGTGCCGTAAGTACATCAACTTATGTGTGCGACTTGGGGAAATACTCCAAATATCTCCATACACTTTCAGCTTCATAGTTTTTTTCATATTTTGGCACTGTTACCTTAAGTTTATCATTCAAATCACTGGTAAGATCTCATTTAGAGTTCGCCAACCAGATATGGGCACGGCACGAGAAAAACGTAACTGCAGTTGAAAATGTACAGACGCTCGCAACAAAAGACCTCCCATCTCCACAACGCTTAAAAATTAAAACTATCCAGCTTAGCATGTCGAAGATTGATAGGAGATACCATATATCACAGAACTCAACAAGATTCTAACAAATTAATGACCAAGGTATCAATTTTAAAACAAATTGAGTGAATAATGTTTTTCAACAAGGGAACGCCCATTGAATCTTCAAACTTGACATCGTCAGCGATATTAAAAATCCTTTTCTTTTTCAGTTAGAACCACCGGCTCCTGGAACAACTTTCCTGTAGAGTCATTTAACAGCTTCAAAAGCAGCTCAGATAAAGTTTGGAAAATGTACCCCTTTTATATAACTATGGTGAACCTCCACACAACAGAGACAAAGCAAAATAATACAGAAGCAAAGACGCAGAATAGCAGAGGTGCTTGAATGATGGGTCTATTGTCAAGATCCACAGGCAGGTAGATTATAACACAAGGGCACAGATATCCTAAAATTCATATATTCTTTAGTTTCTGTAAAAGCATGTGACATTGCGTAGGGACGTTTTTTCGCCTTCTACCACTTGTAGAACTGTTTTGGTAATTGAAACGAAAATTTAAGACAATTTGTTTGAAATGTTCTTTTAATATTTTAATGGGTTCGTAAATGGCCCCAAGAGTACCATTTGGTAAAATTTCCAGAGAATTTTCTGAGTTACGACAATGGACAGGTAACACTATTGTCCACTCACAGAAACAGAAAATTCTCGAAAGCTATCAGCCCACAACAAGTTCTCGACATAAAATATAATCAAACGTTTTTACACATTGCACTCGGCTGTTTCACAATCAGGGGTACAAAATAGAGAAAAATGAACTCTGATGCATTTGTTTAATTTTTCAACAGAAAAAATGAATAACATCTTAACTATGACATTCAAAAATTTTAGAAAATGTTAATTACTTTTTGTGCTACGTCCAAATTAACAGAACGCACCTTAGGCTATGGGGTACGGACACTACACATCAAGTGACTGATGCTTTTGTAACTGAAATATCACATTGTTTACCGGTTATTTTTGTCAACATTCTAAAAATATCAAAATAAAGATATAACAGCAAAACTTTAACCAAAAGGATACAAGTACATGTATGAATCAAAACGTTTTTTTTTTTTTTTTTTTTTTTTTTTTTTTGAGAAACACCACTGCACGTTTTTCAGTGGGTGCTGGCGCTTGGTTGTGTGAGAAGCCGTTTTATTCCTGTTACACCCACTGTCATTCAGTTTGACTTTCATTCACCAGACTTTAATTTAAACTTTTTCTTTCTGTTGCTTGGCCTGTTTTATTTATTTATTGTTTCAGTCTTTATTCTTGTTTTTCGAGTCTTTTCTTATTTTTCATCTCTCGTTAATTTGCACCTCTTGCTCTGCTGTTGGATTTGTTGGATTTGTTGGATTTCTGCTTCTCCTTGACTCTCTGTCAGTATGCCCTCATTTCTTCTCTTTTCTTTAGTCTTTCTTGCAGGGACATCCTTGGATGGTTCTTTTGCTTCTCTGCTATGTTACGTGCATTCAGCGTCTTCCTTGCGTGCTTCAACAAGACTATTAGCATCTTTACGGATATTAGCTCTTTGATGTCTTTTTTTCAAAGTATTTTTGCTAACAGTAAAATTTTCAGGTTCCCATTTTCTTTTTCTTTTTGGCCTTTGTTCATTGTCATCCATGTTTGATACTTCATTCACTGAGAGAATTACAAATGTACTTTTGTTAATTATGCATGTATTGTAATGTCCTTACCCCCTGAAAAAATATCATATACATTAATCCATAGAATAATATCCATATACAGTTTATTATTTTGCAGTTCGCTATATTTGGCAATATATTCAAAGCAATATTGTTCATTTTGAATGCAAAGAGTAGCATCTTTACTGATATTATTTCTTTGCAAAATTTCTTGTCTACTCTAATTAATTAGCATCACTTTATCTAATATATTATAATATATATTTTATATGATCTAGAACAATATTTTGTAACATATTTTGAAGTTTTATCATTATTGATAAGTAGCCAGTTATCAAATGGTTAATGTAAAACTTGGGGGTACGGACACTACAGTAGGGGTACGGACACTACATTTGGCAGCAAATACTTGCATATCTTTTCATAATAAGGGGTTATGTGCTATTTTCTTCCTGCAAAATATATGTCAGTGTGGACATACATAAAATAATAAAATCAGACAATATGCCGTGATTCCTAAATAAAACAGATTTGGGGGGGGGGGGGGTACGGACACTACAAAAATTAGGAGACATCAAGGGGCTCATGATTATAAATACCACAGCATTATTAATAATTGTTACATATGCACAACTCCTTTATTATGTTTAAGTCATCAGAACATTGTGAATTCATCTTATCATCACGTAGGTGATTTCAAAGTAATATTTGGCCTTGTCAAATATGTTTTTCATTGCATGAACAAAAATAAATAAAATGTGTATCAAAGCCTGTTTCACCAAAATGGTTAAAATATTTTTTTTCTCAGTACATATCTTTGGAAGTGCCTGCTAGAAGAGAAGACATGTTGTGGGAATTATATACCAATATCATATTCACCATAAATCATTGACATAAAGAGCTAGTGCATTATATTTATGATCTTAATTGCAAATGACCCATCGTAACAGCTAAAAATGCTTACTTTTTGAACACATAATTGGCTATATTTTTGTAAATTGTAGTCTGATTATAATAATTCTTTTTTATATTTTGCTCCTATGTACAGTGTCTTTGATATCAGTCTATCAGCAATCTCCAATCATAAATTGCTAATTTGTCAGACACTTGTAACATGAACCACATTCAATTGTTCACCCTGATTGTGAAACAGCCGACTTCAAATATTATCGTTGTATAATGTAAATCAATCGTAAAATATTTTCATCTAATTTTACATGTTAACTGCTTAAGCCAAATGTTTATTTTTTCGTGTTTTTTTTTAAAGAACATACAAAATAAGGGGAACTAGACGAATTTAAAGGCTTTGTTGGATCGTTTGGTTTTATCATGATCATTGATTTTATCAGTTTTACCAAGTTTCTTCCTTTGCTTTCAGTCACTGATACGTGGAGGAAAACCATAACGAGTACAGTGAACGATTTGCTTACGGATTCTTCAGTCTGCAAGCGGTAGTATACAAACGTGTTGTAAGTAATGTTCGTACTTTGAAGACCAAGGCCATTTTACCGTTTTATATAAACTTGGATATTACTTGGATTTCTTTTTCGTGTTAGAATAATAGCTAAATGTTTTTTATTATTTCCCGCCAGTGTATGCAGATGTTTCAATCGATTCTGAAAAGATTTATGAAAGCAAATGTAAAAATTCAAGACTATGAAAATCCTTTATATATCAATTTTGTTTTGACTAGTCCTGCTTAAAGATGCATACAAAGTCATTTTTTGTCACAAAACCGACCCAATGGCAGCATATAGTTTCAAGTAGTATAACTAAGAGAATTACCAAAAGGCATTGTTTAATTTTACCCGAAAATGGTGTTTGAACAGATTTTTCTGCTAGAATTCGATGCTGTATGCCAATGGGGCAGAAAATTAGGTCACAGAAGTAGGTTAAATTTCAGACCAAAATTTTAAAGAAAGGAGCAGTCTAAAGATCTTTTATGGCTGATCGAGTGATCTATTCAGTTTATCCCTTGGCATGTCCAATTTATTTGATGAATTTCTTTGACATATATTTATTTATAACAAACTAGTAGAAGTGGTTTACATGTGTTACCGGGAATCCGATACTCGGTTCGTATGTACCTTTAAATGTGCAGGCTGCCCCAGCTTGATGAATGTAAGCAGCTTTTACTGTATACGTAGACATGGTATTTTACTTCTGTCCTTCATCGTTGTTTAGTGCAGTTTCAAAAAAAAATTAAAAATATTTTTCTATATTTAAAACTGCATATTTTGTATATTTCAGATACTAGACGTCATGCCACAAAACTGAGCGGCTTGCGAAGTTGTCACACGTTAGGTCGTCGGGTTCCTTTACAATATTACTAAGTTCACAGCATTTGGTCACAAGACAATTTACTGGGCTGATATTTTTAAATTATGTTGCTTGCGTTGGTTTTTATATACAGACACTATAAAGTATGTATATATTCTGTTTAACTGTCTCTTCATCTCGTCTCTGGCGCTGGCCACAATCGCCTATAAAAACCATGTTTTTGGTTTGTTTTAAAATTAACTGAGTGAATTTATTCGGTAAAAATGCGCGATTTTTATATAAAATGCATTTTGGTGACGTTTGCCCAAAATGGGCAAAACGATATTTTTCCTTTACTTTAAATTTACAAGTAAGCTTTATTTGATAAAAGGTTATGTTCAGTTTTGGGAACATTTGTCCCAGGTTTTTACTGAAAAATTAAATAGAGCTGAATCTGTATGCATACTTTTAATTGAGAACTTGTTTCATGGGAAAAAAAAAGAAGATAAATTTTAGAAGGCAGAAGTGCACATTTCATGGTGTCAATCACTGTCGTAATGGAGTTTTTTTTTTTCTGGAAAGTGTCTGTAAATTTGCCAGCATTGCTCTCTACTTGAAATTATATTTCTATTCATACAGTAAATTATCCGAATTCTGATAGAAAAACGGCTTTCATAATATATTTGATCTGCTTGAAATGACGTTGTGTATGTATCATTGTTGTGTATGTACTTAATGTATCGACATTTGATTAGAAAGAATTTTACACTTATGCAATTACTTTGTTTGAAATATTCAAAGATGCTCACATTTATTTAATTGACCATTTCTATTCAACATTGTTAAAATGCAAACGTGATTCAGATGTCACAAGTCGAAGAAAAATATCTTATGGTTTTTGGTGCTGCCACAGACAACACTGTGATTTCTCATCTGATCTGATTTCTGTGTCAAAGTATGACGAAAGGAGTCTCTAAATTTTAGAAAAGTGGGAAATAAATACAGTTGAAAGCTGAAAAGTGTTGCAGAACTATCAAAGTTTCACTTTGCTCTCATGAAAATATATACCGATAGCCATAAAACAATTCAAATCTTATAAAACGGGTTTTTATCTTCATTGTAAGCCAGATTTGAAATTTTTTTCTAACCATTTGACATTAAACAGCACATCTGTATACTGTTATTTATAGCACTTTTTATGTCTGTATACACACTTAGTCAGTGGTTTACAATCAATAATGTAAGTTATTTGAAGTATTGAAATAAAATAAAAAGTGAACATGTTTTGTTGTTGTTTGATAATGCTATTTGATAAAAATAATTCTGACGTGTTCAACTATAACCCCTAAAATCAAATGGATTTACCCTACCTGTCACCCCTTAAATCGAATGGACTCTCCCCACCTGTCACCCCTCAAATCGAATGGACTCGCCCCACCTGTCACCCCTCAAATCGAATGGACTCTTCCCACCTGTCACCCCTCAAATCGAATGGACTCACCCCACCTGTCACCCCTAAAATCGAATGGACGCGTAACGCCTTTTCCCCTCAAATCGAACGGAATGGTCAAACCAATCACACCCTCAATTTGAATGGAATTACCCAATTTAACACCCCATACTATATTAGACTCTCTGAGCATTCTTATTTGAAATAAAAAACAAAACACTTGATGATTTTTCATTTATTATACAGAAAATTTTTTTTGAAAACTCAAAATGAAACACCCTGTAAAAAGTACAGAATTACAGTGCACAGATTTAGGTCAATTGGAAAAGGTAATTTAATAAAGACTTCATACTAGTTTCGTGGAGCTAAATATTGAAAAAATCGGAAAACTATAAAAGCAATTCTACCAATATTTGTTTATGCATGTGCATAATAAAATTTCAAACTATGAAATTTAGAACGAAAACTGTCATCTACAGATCTTTTAAGTAATGTGATTTTTTTAAAGATGTGGATACAAACCACGCGGTATCAAAAGCCAAAAGAAAACGAAATACATTTAACAATTTAGTTTAAAATTGATTTCAATTTGACCCCTGTATCTTTAGATCAAGTGAAATGGATTAAACAAAAACACCAGAAAAGTGTCTTTATTCAAGTGAAATCGATTAAGATAAGAACATTCGGTATTAAACAATAACATTCAGAAACATTTACAAATGAACGTAAGTGAATTTAATTCAATTTTATTTATTTTATGAAATGGCAGTTGACTGTAGTTATGATCAATATTCCTCCAGTTTCATCCAGCAATTCCCTCTCGAAGCATCAAAATAATGACATGCAAGTAAATATATAGAATCCTCACTTTCGCAGTCTACCTTGGATGTTATTTCGTTAAACAACTCTTCAAATAGCAGCGTATGAGCGTGCAAAGCCGTATACGTGTTATGATCCTAATCATACAGAATTCTTCGCATGTTTTCATCAGTTGCACATGATTTCTCAGTTTCTTGGAATAGGAGATTGCAGATCTGAAATATCAATATAAACACAGTGACAACTCAAAGCTGAATAATCTGCACCAAAAGAAAAGTTCACTGTCAAAAGAACGTCCGGAAAAAAACTTTATCTGAAAGTATTTTCAAGGTGAAAACATAATGCACGGAGAACTCAAAATACAGAGAAATTTCAAAAAGTCAAATAAAAGTTGCAAAAAATTATCTTGGACTCACAAAAAAAGACTTGATTATCTATCGACGATGAACAATAAATACAGAAGACTCCGCATAACTCTGCACCAAATAACAAAAATTAACTTTTATATCAAACTAATTATCTGTAATAGCTTTTCCTTTGGTATACATATATGTCAGTTGACACCAATAGGAGCACTATCTTAGTCGGACCTTTGTGCACGGTAACTTGATGAAATTTTATGCCTGAGATATGTGGAGTCTGTCCTCTGTATCTATTTAACTATAATATCATTCAAAATCGAGAATATAAATCAAACTTCTGGTAAGTAAATAAATACTGTACTGTAGAAGAACTGTGACTTACCAGGAAAAAGCAGCAACACTGACAGTACGGGCTCCTGACTTCTCTACACCAAACTTTGCGTCTTCTCTTTTTGAGATCCAACTGTCAAGTGAGCAGGCAGAAAGACTGTTCGCACTGCGCTGGACGCCCTGTTGTTATGCAAATTACCCTAGAGCCTTGTACGAAACATTCCGATCTGAAAATAGCTATTTTAAATCGCTCTCTTCAAAAGAGCGAATATATATTACTTCATAGGTTTACTAACTAATCAAAACAGATTCAAATATTTTTCGTTTGTCTGATATATATGATTTAATACAAAAGTATCGTATAACCCCTCATTGCCAAATGCGCTAAGTCTTGTACAGTATCCACTCAAAATTACCCGGCGGTAACTGGCTTAGACAGATACAGTTCACTCACCTGTCTATTGTCATGTTGATGCATTGGTCTGTCTTATTATGAGTAAGGGGTACACAGGTGCTGGCACAACTGCCGCATTTACCCAGTTCAATTCAATCTTAAAAAGCAACTTGCGATCTTTACTTTTATTTATTAGAAGTTGAATGGTCTTAAGCAAAGAAAATGATAAAAACAAAGCGGTAGTCATTTTGTGTCGAATGAGTGCGTTATTTCTTAAAATGTTTCTTCTGCAGTTTAAATAAATTCATTCACAAATATAAGGTATTTTCTAGGGCACAACGTAAAAAGTCTTGACGTAAAAAATGGAAAATTATGTTTGTTTGATTGATTGATTTTTCATAAAAATGTTGAAGCTCTTAACTGATTCTTATTTATTTTCAGTCAGTTCTTGCAAGTCTTGAAGAGATTGTGAAATCGGAACAAAGATTTTGAACTGTTCAAAAATTTTGCTCCCGAACTCCCGAATGCAAAAAATATCCGTGATACATTCCTAAATATCATAACTGATTCCTAGTACATTCTCAGCCATTCTTATGTATTTTAAGCTTAACCTGAGAATCATGAAGCATTTGTATGACCACGATTTGACTACGATTCTGTAAAGAATAGCCAAATTATATTTCTAATCCTACCTTTGGTAGGTGCATTCGGCTTCCCCCTAACTGAACCCTACTGTTCGTGAATTATTCTTAAGTCATTCTTGCAAATCACAGCTGTTTTTTGACAACATTCGTGCAGTTCAAGCAGAATCCCAGAATATTCTTAAGTCTATCTTGAAATTTGTAACTGAATCCTACAGGGGCAAGATTTCTACCAGAAATGTGCAAAATTCCACGATTCCTCACGATTTCTAAAATTTATCAGCTCCTGGTAATTAGTGGAATCCATAGTCTGAGTGTAATAAGGGTATTAATTATAAAGATGGAAGTGCTCTTAATAGCCAACAATATAAATACGTTCAAGTTAATCTTTCGTGTCTTTTCCTGTCTTGTTTTTCAGGATATTTAGGTTTCCGCTCCAAAATCTTGTTTGCACTTTATTTTCACCCTATAGGCCTTGAGCGAAGTCCTGTTTTCTTTGAGGCGTCAGTCTCGAAGCCTATATCTCTATATGGTCTCAGAATCATAACCATACAATCATAAGCGTCCAATCTAAAATAAATACACACGCGAGCGCCATGCAAGCACCTTAAAATCCTTTTTTCTTTTCCGCCTTATCTCTATTTCCGTCTAATTGTATTCAATAAAGATAAAAGACTGTTTGCCTTCATATTGTTTTGATAGTTCAATAACTTGACGAAAAAGTCCTTCTTCCACTGTAAACACATTTGCCTCAACATTTAGTGTGTGTTTTCTCACCAAAAGCAATCGTACAAAGTTCGTAGTCACTTGTGAACCCAGTGAAACATGTAAATAAGATGCAGTTCTTGTCTAAAAAATGATAATTGATAAGGAGTTATAGTTATAGAGGGGAGTAAGTTTGCACAGCAATTAAAAGATCCATTTTTTACGTAAAAGAAGACCGAGTAACTAGATTATACATGTATAATTAAAACCCACTCAAAACATTGGATTACGAAGAAGTACATTCTCAGGGAGTCGGTTTCTTTACAAATGAGATTAATACATTTGATTAGTAGATTTAAAACACATTTAGTGTTATGAACAAAATTCTAGATAGTGTCGAATTACCAGGACACTTTAAGCTGTACATAACGGCGACCAATTCATGATACGCGGGACGAAGATTATCCTCGGAGTTTAAAATAACGTACAAATGGGGAAATTATTGAAACAAATACAAAAACTTACGTCGAAAAAATTAAAAGCAATCTCATTTCACGTTTTCTTTATGTAGGCTAAAGATTGACAAAAAGCAAA